AATTGCTTTTTATAATACTACTGAGTGTCGCAACTAGTGATATGAGTAACAAGCTAATTACTCATCGCTAAGTACCTTAGGCCGCAAAATTTTCAGCCGCCCCTCGTACATATATTGATCTGTCATGGATCATGCGACCTGTCTTGGCCTACGATCGCGCCGGCGATGGCTATCTGCACGCGTTGGTGTGGTTGAAGCTTTCAGTTGGGACACTGGCGAATGACAGTTAAGTTCTGTCAGTCACCAGTGGCGCCAACTAGTGAGCGCAAATACGGTGGCCCTTATTATCATAATAATATGATCTACAGGAAATAAAAAAGGTCAAGTGCGAGTGGCATGCAAATTTTAAATGTCTCTATTATGGATTAGGTAGAGAAGCATTAGCAATAGGGTCCCGTCGTAATCTTTTTGGAACGAAACCTTGAAAACTACTGCGCTCCGTGAAGCGATTGCAAAATTGAGTCAGTCATGAAAACTACTGTCTAGACTCTAGACCAGGGGTTCCCAAACTTATTTGAGACGCGCCCTGCGTCTGGAATGCATTCTCTCAGCGGTCGCAGATTTTTTATACTTAAGTACACAGATGGCCCGCGCCCCCCTTCAAGTCTTTGCGCCTCCCCTGGGGGGCGCGCCCCCTACTTTGGGAACCCCTGCTCTAGACAGTAATTTCTCCTCTAGACTAGAGGAGCAAGGCAACTTGAAGATATAAACAGGCTAATAACCTACCTCCTCCGTGGAGACGGGCTCGAAGAACGGCCACACGTCCTTGTGCTTCATGGCCTCCTTGAGCAGCTGCTCCAGCGCCTCGCTGTGCAGCAGCACCTCGGACCTGCTGCTCCTCTTCTTGCCTGTGCTGCGCTCCGCTGTAGATATTCAAACAAAAAGAAGAAGTATAGTATAGCCAGTACCCATAGTACAGTCGCGGAATGAAAAGGTTCGTCACCTTAGTGTCGGTTTTCGCTTGCACTAGGTACTGTAAGAGTCAAACCTGCCAACATAACAGTGCAAGAAACAGTGCTGCTAACATTTAAATAAATATGACGTTTGCTAACGAATAAGGTTTTACTTGTTTAATTTTCTACCCCATGCAATGTTACAAAATGTAGTTTTTTTTTTATATAATAGAAATAATAATGGCAGGTTGAACCAACAAGAAGGTTTTAGTTTATCAATCATAATAATCTTGACAAGATAAATCGTCAAAAAACGTTGATCTGAATAATTTTGAACTTTACTGACGAACAGTTAAAGATTATTTTCTCTAACTCGAGATTATTCTGTAACATAGTTTCAAAAGGTAACATGTGCTCGCGATTCGTTGGCGGATTCAATTTGAAAACTGACGAACCTTTTCATTCCGTGACTGTACAAGCTTTGCTTAGTTTGGGACTAGCGGCGCAGTGTAAAATGTCCAAGGATATTTATTTATTTATTTAGTGTCATTCTCGATAACGCGCCATGGGTGGTAAGCATTGTTTTTGTAACTAGAACGGGCTGCGTGACATCACGGCACCGCCTATGTTTGAGTTCCACGCGAAAATATTTAGGTAATTTAAATAATTAATTTCTCAGGCATTTCTTGATGGATTTAAAAAAAAAACTTCACCGTATTTTTAGTTTTGGTCTATATTTTAATCCTTTTCAGTGAAATCTAATGTTTTCAACATCACGAAACTTGCCCATTTGACCACAATCGCACTTGGTGTTAAGTGAGATGCAATCTAGTATGGTACTTAATGCTAAAAATATTCTGATAAACAACTTGAAATAAATCGAACTGCCTAAGGCGGGAATCGAAACCACGATCTTTCGCTTGCCGGGCAACTGCTCTTCCGTCTGTGAGTATAGGAGGATATCAACAAAGTTTTCTATATAAATTAATAGATTCTCGGTATTCCACATAATAACAATAGATGCGCATGAGTGGGAAAGTAGTTACGTTCTACACATCTCTTGAGAAATGATCTAAATATTGAATACAAATGAAATGCCTCTATGCTTGAGAATAAATCGAGTTTTAAGCTTTTGTGATGGGGTTTAATTGTCAAATAGAGATTTACTTTATTGTTTTTAAGTTTATTTCAGTGCATACTGGTAAAAATGTACATACCATGTCCATTAGTTAGTGTCGACTTTGTTTTTTTACTTGTACTCGAGTGGTGTTCGTCTTTGGATCTGCAAGTCAAACAGATACATTATTCAGTATTCCAGCGAAAACGTCTGGTTAGAAATATATTATTCAATATTCCAGGAAAATCGTATAATGAAATATTTATTTATCCTCGTAAGTCCCCGCGTACTTGTACAAGTACATATTAAGGATAGTAGTTCAGACCTGACATTTAAACTACATAGCAAGAGTAACTGCCCAATGTACTTACCCAAGTACAAATTTTTCTTTCCCCATTTACCGGGTAGTTTTTTTACAATGGCAAAAATGATACGACCATACTCATTCAATACTCTATGGTCAATTCCGCCATGTTAGACAGGTAACGTCAACTGTCAGTGTCAGTGTCATTTTTTCGCAAAATGGTCACGGGGTCGGATTGCCGGCTGGCACGAGGATAGTTTATCTGTTTATATCAAAGTAATCTTTGGTTTTTTGTCTTGTTTTTTAAATATATATCAGTAAATATAAATTATAGTTTTTGTAAATTAAACAAAATTTAAAAAGAAACTTAGTATTTTAGGAGGTTCATGATCGGTCAAAATAATTTGTACTTGATATAGTACGTTAGGCATTTGTTACACAAAAAATTGTATGAAATTTGTATTAGGTATGAAATTAGCGTTTTTTTTTCTTCAATGTTCATTACTATGTAATTTCTTTCATAGTATAGCGATGTCCATAATTTTTTTTAATTTGAAATTTGACTTCAAGAGCTTACTTTTACGTATAAAATGCTAAACTTAATTTTATTTTTTTAATTTGAATTTAATTTTCAAAGACAGCTCGTCCTAATTGTCGTCCGTTTCCATGAAACAAAAATAAATATATATTTTATACAGATACCAATTTAAAAAAAAAAATTAATTTTTTTTATAGCTTAATGTTGTTTCAATCTACCTACAAAATTTCATAACATTTGAATTTATGGCTTTTTAAAAAATCCCAAAAATATTAGTATGAAAAAAAAATTTTGGTGAAATTCTGCATATAAAACGCTAAGGCCAAATAATTTTGTCTTAAAGACTGAATTTTATAATTATTGCTTACTTAAGTGACGTTTAGAAGAAAAAAATGATTTATTTTTAATACATAAATAAAACCTTTATCTTAATGATATTATTTTTTTACACTGTATAAAAAGCCTAACGTACTTACAGGAGTACAAACTATTTTCAATATTTTTCTTTTAAAACAGGTGCTAAAGATGCTTAACTTACAGTAAAAAATACAAAACATAAGGTAACACTTAAAAAACTATGTAAAACCGTCAATATTTTATCTCGGTCTGAAGCACATTTCTTAGTTTGTACTTGGTATAGTACATCCGGCAGATATGAATACTGCTGTTGAAAAAACACAGGACTTACGAGGTTAAATCAGGTCTATTTATCTCCGCGAGTTTGCATTGCAAACAAAACACGCGCGACGTCAGCTCCTGGGATAGGTAATCGACAGGACACGAGCGAGCGAGCTTTGACGCACGTACGCGTATTCTTCAACCATTTGCATTGTAAACTAAACTAGGTAAGTACAAAAAAATTATGGTGTAATTGTGCAGTATTTTAACTGCCTAAATAATAATAGAAACACAAAATATAATTCATGGATAAATCAGGTATTTCCTCCGCCATTTTCTGCAGTTTGGCACTTCACGTCACACATTATTTTACCGAAGTCAGCCCTATAGTATCGGCGCAGTACCAATCATTGACGTACATGTCAACAAAACGGTGTTCAACTCTTGAGACAAGCTAAATTACACCATATTGTGGACGACATTGAGCATAATTTTTTTTAAATACCTTCGCAAAGCAAACCTTGTGTACGTAGTACTTATTATTATTCTGTGTTTATATCCAGACACCTCCCGCGACCTTATTTACCAGATCGTCGTTCCACCTAGTGGGAGGCCTGCTCAGACTACTTTTTTTTGTTCTATAGGACCGGTTGTTGTGGAAACCCTTAGGCCTTAGGGCATTTGTCCAGCAGTGGAAGTCATTTGGCTGAAACGAACAAGTTTTATTTTCATAACTTACTTGCGTCCTTTCTTTGTGGAGCCGTTATGTACTGGCGAGGTCTCTTTGCTGTTCCGAGATTTTCGCGTCTTTAGTTTCACTAGCGCTGTGTTGTCTTCACTGTCGTCTGATTCTGTACATGAAAACAAAATTAATTATAACAATGAAGATATTTAAACAATTAGTGCAAACCCATAAAATTAGTGAAAGCAAACAAATGGATAAGTAGTAAAAGTAAAATAAAACGAAACATGAAATAAAATCAGCATCTGTCGCAAGAGCTTTGTTTTCCCAATGCTTATGTTAGGGGCCACGTAATAAACTGACTACGATAGAGTGGTTAGCGTTAATATAACATTAAAATTAAAAGTTAATGAGGCACACCAGATGAGATATTACGGTTTAACCAAGTTAAGTTACGTTTTGGTTAGACAATGAGAGTCAAGTGCTAGAACGCCGACGCAACGCATCTAGCACTACCTGTTAATGCTAGCTGAATGAGGAAGAAAGGATCAGGTATGAATAACAATGTTTAATCGTTCAGAGAAGATAGAAGTGAGAACAATAAGTTAGGGGAAACGCATTGGTGAAGAACAATAACAGTCGTGCGACCCAACCAAATGTAAAAGAAGCGCAACAAAAATGAGAGGAAGCGCATGAGAAAAAATTACAGAAAGTAACATCGCCGTAATTTGATGATGATGGAGTGTTATAGTTTGGTCTGCGAGCACGTAGAATTTTGTCCAATGACCCCAAGCTACCCATCCTTATCGCTCGCGCGTAATTATGTTTCCGTCGCGACTGTGCGACGGGCGCCCGCAGTGAGTGTGCGAGCGCGACAGCAACATTCTACGTGCTCACAGACCGGGTTTTAGAAGTTTAAGCGCATGAGTGAAAAGGACGGCGACAGGCAGTGCGGGCTCGTGCGAGCGAGACAACACGAACCGTCAGAGTAATTCCGCTTGTGCAGCGCGCGCGTGTAGGCGTGGATGTTGTCTATGGCCGTCGCCGCGCACGCTCGTCCGCCGGGCTCTTTCAGAACAATAAGCATGGGTTATTTTGATATTCTAATCAGTTATTAACTTATTAAGTTAGGTAAACATGTTGTTTATTTTCTTCAAATTAGATATATTTGACACACTTCTAGGACTCTGTTTCATTTGCCATAGAGGGACCTTTGCCGTAGTTACGTGGAGGTGTGTCAAAGGCTTGAAACAATTCTGGAATGGTAGAAGTCGTAGATTTATTCCAGTGGCATGCCACATGGTGGGTCTTCCTTTGTGTAATCTAAAAATACTTACGATCGCCTGTTCCAGAGTCAAACCTTGTCTTAAAAAACCTTTACGGCTCCAAATGACGGCCGTCAACGCTTAGGTATTTAACCATTAGGCATTAGCCGAAATCTTTTCGGGACAGTGCACTGGGACACGGGACAAACTTGACCTTCACTGGTTGGGTTTATATTGGCGGTCAAGCTGTAGATCCTGGCTACACAGGACTTGCAGCGGTGGGACCGAGAGGTGGGAATAGTCCTGTTGGGGCGCGGGACACTCGGGGTGGTAGCGCGCGCCGCACGCGTGGCACGTGCCCCCCGGCGGGGCCGCTGGGACACGCGGGGGCTGGGGACACTCACTGTGCGGCGGCGGCAGGCAGGCGCGGCAGGTCCAGCGCTTGGCGGCGCGCGAGGGCGGCGGGCGCGCGCACTCGGGGTGGTGGCACGTGCCCCCCGGCGGGGCCGCTGGGACACGCGGGGGCTGGGGACACTCACTGTGCGGCGGCGGCAGGCAGGCGCGGCAGGTCCAGCGCTTGGCGGCGCGCGAGGGCGGCGGGCGCGCGCACTCGGGGTGGTAGCGCGCGCCGCACGCGTGGCACGTGACCCCCAGGTGGCCCCCGCTGCCGCACTGCAGGCACACGCCGCCGTCCAGGCTCAGGCCTTCGCTGTCGCTGCTGCAATATAAACAAATGACTGTTATGGCGCAGTTACGATATGCGGGAAATTGACCGAACAGAATTTTACTGCGCCTGTTCACGCAGAACTACTTAATAAAATGCATTCTTGAGTTTGAGAATTTTTTATTGTACTTTTGGACAATATTACATTGAAATAAATTGCGAGTTAACGTGCCGGCCGGCACGTCAAGCCGGTTCGGTGGCTGATAGGCGAGAGAGGGATACAGTGAATGGAAGAGTGAACGCGCGCGCGGACCGAATGAGAATGAACGATAGTGATGTGAAGCTGTCTGTCATAGACATCGCCAATAGCCATGACTGAGACACTTTCACGTTGCCATGCCCACATAAACCGCACGTCATGTGCACGCTATCGTCAATTGACATGGTGTGCATGCATTCGTCAAATGACGGACCGTGGACTGCCTATAGCTACGACGCGGGTACGCCTATTCTCGTTTCAGCCAAATGACGTCCACTGCTGGACAAAGGCCTCCCCCAAGGGTTTCCATAACGATCGGTCCTGTGCTGCCCGCATCTAGGCTCTTCCAGCGGGTACGCCTATTCTTCTTCTTATCGTGTCGACAACAAACCTACACAGTGTCAGCCCAAAACTCCGCCACAAGAGTGGCGTTGTCAGTAGCACTCATCAAATCGTCCTGAGTGCAGTTGCTTGGGCACTCAGGGCATGAAATCAGGTGCTTCATTGACTGGGGAACAAAACCGCATCTGCACTCCATCCAAGCTTAAGCCAATCCAATCCAATGTTCAAGCCATCCAAGAATCCCCACCTGGCCAGATTGTCCTTACTACGGCCAACCTGCGTCCGAAGTCTATTTAAAGACTTCCAGGTAAGCCAGGGGAGCTCATGTCCAGGTGGAGGACTCTCAGACATAGGGACAAAAGGGCAGGGGAGATCAGCTCTCTCGCGCCATAACCTGCATCTCTCTTTTGACCGATCGTCATGAAGGAGAGGGGACACACTTTTTACGAAATTGCTTCGGCTTTTTAGCCTATGAGGAACAGGGTCGTAATTGAAAAGTGGGTGCCGTGTGTCACTCAGCATGTATTTCCGGTACGCCTATTAATGCACGTAAACGCACGCGCCTACCACAAGCCACGCGTGTGGAATCCAGTCACACGCATGCACCCGCGCTAATATTAGCGGAGGCTCTTAGGGCTCCATCAAACACGACTCACTGAATAGAAGAAACTTAAGGGCTATATTTCACCGAGACACCATGGCGGCGCAACCAGTCGCCGGCTACTAACAAAATGTATACAGCTCTATAGAGAGTTACCGTGTGTCCGTTTGGTTGCGCAAAGCTGCATACATTTTGTTGGTAGCGGCAACTGGTTGCGCCGCCATGGTGTCCCGGTGAAATATATCCCTAAGAGTGTAATCGACAAACAATCATGATAAACTGATGAGATAAACTGAAATGCATAACTAATTAAATTACAAACGTACCTTTTTACCGCCTCTGTGGTCTAGTGGTAAGACCACCTGCTTCAGACGCAGAGGTCCCGGGTTCGATTCCCAGCGGGGGCAGATTTTTCTGTTCGGTTTGGTTGGTGGTAGGGCTTGTTCTAAGTCCGCCTGGCTAGCTACCACCATCTTACCTAAGCCTGTCGCCATTCCCGCAGTTAGAGGTAAGATAGCCAGTTTCCTCCGTGGTTCCGGGTGAAGCTCGCTTCCACATTCCGCCTGATCATCACTTACCATCAGTTGAGATACAGGCCAAGAACTTCCTCGTTGTGGATTAAAAAAAAACCTACATATAGTCATCGAAATATGCTACAACTGATTCACTTACCTACTATCTAGAACTTGTTCCATCTCCTCGTCTGAGAATAACTTCCTTCTCTTTCTCGGCGTCCGTTCTTTGGGCTTGCACTGCTCGCAGAACCAATCGCCTTCAGGTACTTTCTAAACAACCAAAGAAAATTAAACTTTATAAATATACTGGTCATCACAAAAATCGGCCCACCTACGTTTTACAGGAAAACTTGTTTCTACTGACACAATCATGGTGCCCCAACAATATTGGTGTTATTTGAAAGCCCAATAAATATCCTTAAAGAAAAACACATTTAATTTCTTAATAAACGATTAACATATTAGACAATAAATGTGACTTGAAAAAATACATCACTTTGGACTCACCTCTGGGATCAATTATACCAATTTTTATTGTTATAAAACCAAATAATGATCTCACGTCTCCTCTTTAACAGATGGATAGCGATTAATTCCAACTTAACAGTTTTATAGCCATAAAAGTTGGCTCAAGCGTAACTACCTATTTTTTGAAGAAGTGACTCTGGATTCTTCTACAGACACATTTTTGGGGTAAAAACCTTTCTTTTAATGAAATGAAGCTTAGAACTAGGCTTTTAAATGGTGCCAATATTGGTGGGAAGTGGGGATGCATACGTATGAAAGTGCTTGTCGCGGGAGGGTCGATTTTTGTAATGACCAGTGTATGTCACGCAAAAATCAATTTCGTTCAGTCAACAAACAATACCTAAAATTATTCTACTAATTTTAACGATAAAAATTACGTTTTTACCTTCCTCGGTAATCCTGACTGGTCAGCGTGAAAGCACAGAAAGAAGTGAAGGTTATTTAGTAAGCATTCAAAGTTATATTGTTCGGCGCCGATTTGAAATCTGTTATTCAAATAGTTGCAACCCAGACTCCAGACACTGTTGCATGTTTTATTCATAACAATATGCATGGCCTGTTGATCTGATAACCTACATTTATTTTCACACTTGCAAATCTTACAGTCGACGTTATTCAAATCCAAAGTTATTCAGGAACAATCGTATAAGATAATATAGATACACGTTGTTTTCTCACCAAGTACCTATTGTACATTTTGCGTCTCAATAATTAAGCCGAGTCCAGACGGGTGTAACGCGTAATGGAATGTATAAGAATAAGAAAGTCTTTATTCAGCACAAAGCAAGAGTAAAATAGTTAACTTAAAAAAAAAGGCTGAATAGGCGCCGGCTCAGCAAAAATCGCGACATGACACAAACGTCATGCTGAGAAGCTGGTTTTCAGCGGGAACCAATGCGTGATGAGGATTGCGCGCCCTTCTGGTTGAGACGGTTTGATCAAACAGTGTCAGACAGGTTTAAAGGCGAGTTTTGCAGTCTACTGGCCATAAGGACGCTTGGTAATGTAATGGGTAAAAAGGTAAAATGTATCGTGTAATGTAATAGAAATGTGCAGCATTTTACATGTAATGCTTGTCCGCCACGCCACGTACACACGACAGCACATCAGGCTACACATTTTTGTTGCATTACACGTAATTTTACATTATAAATCACACCCGCCTGGACCCAGCTTTAGTCAGTTATTCACAAATTACAATCACTTGCGTTTGTATTTGTGACCACTATTGTTATGACGATAGAAGACACTCATCTCCGTTCAATATTACAACTGAAATAGTAAGACACGGGTCTTAACGCGTAGGTCGTTAGTGCAGCAAATGACAATAAGAGGGTAGTTGAAAATTTTCAAGCCCGCCCGAACGGACGAGGCCGTGAGCCGCCAGTCTGCTTGTGACCACGGCTGCAGCATCGCAGCCGAACCGAAACGTCAAGCATTGAGTACATAATGTAACTCATTAATAAACGTCGAGTTAAGACCCGTGTTATACTATTTTAGTTGAAATGGAACGCGAAAGTTTAAAATCATCATAATCTGAGTTTGTTCCGGCGTTTCTTCTCAGCACTTGCCATATGTTTGTCTCGAAGCGCTGGTAGGGCCCAAAAGATAAGGAGACATGTAAAGTGCCCCATAAGGGCTACCTTTTCTTTTTTTATTATTTTCTATTGAAGTTCATAAGTGCCACTTGTGGTCTAAACTGAATAAATATTTTTGATTTTGATTTTTGATTTTAAAGACTCACCGTGAGTTTAGGCTTCAAGCAGTAGAGATGGTGTCCCTTATTGCATCCGTCACAGAGCAGCATATTGTCTGGATCCGTCTTCCTTCTGCACAGTCTACAACTGGCATTAAGGATGCTAGCGCCCCAGGACACACTGGAATCCAGCGTGAAGAGGTGCAGCACGATCTGGGCGAAGCTCCGGCACTCCATGAGGGATACCTCCCAGCGTTCGAGAGCTTCCAGGTCTAAGGGCTTGTTGCGGGCTTCCCGGTCTTTGCGGTCTTTGTCGTCGAGGCCTGAGGGAAAGTGGAATCTATACTTCTATACTAATATCTATACTATAATAGTATTATAAATGCGAAAGTAACTCTGTCTGTCTGGCTTGCTTTCACGCCTAAACCACTAAACCGATATTGATCAAATTTGACATAGAGATAGTTTGAGTAGTAGATAGTCTGTGACAGACAAAATTGCACGCGGGCGAAGCCGCGGGCGGAAAGCTAGTTTATAATATAGGACTAAACGCTTCAAGCAAGATGTTATGAATAAATGTCCAAATTAACGTGTTCACATTCCAAGAACATTAGACAGCAAGTTTTACATGTCTTTTTTCGTAGCGATAAAAGGAGCAGCAGAATTATCTGATTTGGCAATGGCCTTTGATTTTGATTTACGCTCTTCGAGGTCATTTTAAAAGCCATAACAACACACGGTGAGGTATATGGAAAACTTGACCAATAATCACAATTGGAATACCGCTTCACTCCGTTGGCTTTGGGCGACTCTAGGTAAAGTCTGGTCGCCGAGCACGTTGAATCGCTCGCACACTCACTGCTGCCGCCCATCGCACAGTCGCGACAGCACTATAATTGCGCGCGAGCGATAAGGGTGGGTAGCTCGGGGTCATCGGACGAAATTCTACGTGCTCGGCGACCGGACTATAGTGGCCCGGGTAGTGGTACTTGTTAGAACAAGCAGTAATAAAACTCACCCAGCGGCCTCTTGATGTACTTGTGGTGTATGGCCTGTTCAACTTGCAGTAAGGCGGATGCAAGTGCTCGCGTCACACTAGCGCCTTCTAGCTTCACTCCGTTGGCTTTAGGAGCTTCTAAGTAGTGACCTGGGTCGCGGTACTTATTCTCAGGAATGGGATTTTCAACGTTGTCGTTATCTGGATGGAAAAAGATTGGTCGGTTATGGAGAAAATAAATAAATAAATATCCTTGGATATTTTACACTGCGCTTCTAGTCCCAAACTAAGCAAAGCTTGTACTATGGGTACTAGACAACGGATATAAACATACTTAAATACTTTTTTTTTGTAAATACATACATATTATACATAGAAAACACCCAGTCCAATACAAACAAATATGTTCATGCACACAAATGTTTGTACTGTGCGGGAATCGAACCCGCAACCTCCGGAATAGTAGTCCGTTTCGAACCACAACAACAGAAAACAATGCAATGTGAACATAGCTTTACCAGTTTTTATTTGTAGTATTTTTCTTTATTTATGAAGCTAAATTAAAACATTGAAATCATGATATACAACCCGGTCGAGTTAACTGCGTGCCTGGCTGCTGTGACGTCACATCGTCGTACTAGTACGGATGGGGCGAACGCGGGGAGGTATACGGGTAAGTGGGAGGGAGAGTCGCATTCCAGTGAATAGACATGTTGACACCACAGTCAATTGACGTACTTTTTAAAACTGTCAAAACGAAACTCTCCCATAGATTTTGTATGGCACTACAAGCAAGTGACGTCACTATCTTCTTCACGTCTTCAAGGCGAGACTGAATAAGCACTTACAGGGCAGATATGTACCATCCTAGACTGCATCCCACTTAACATCAGGTGCGATTGTGGTCAAATACCTGCCTTGTTATGCATAAAAAAAAACTATTTTGTCAACTCAATTAAACAACTTTTTCAATTACAATGCGAACAAATATCGTAATTTACAGGTAATTTAAAATAAATTAAGTTTTTAAGACCAGAATGAAGGGTCTTTTTAAAACAGTTGTGGTTTCGAATTATTGGGGTATGGTATCAAACTGTCTATTGCGCAGTTAGCTCGATCAGGTTGTATAAGTATTTTTAGAGTAAGCGCACACCGTTGATTTTTCGTCGGCCGAAAGTTTAGTCGGGCTGTTGATCAGTATGGGCATGTATGGGAGAGCGCACACTACGCCGATTCGATTTGGCCGATTCTTCATACAAATTAAAATCGGGCACAACTATCGGCCAACTAAAAATCACCGGTGTGCTCCTACTCTTAGAAAGATAAAATGCAATTATGCTGTTTCGATATTTAGTAACTTACCACTGGGAATGTTAAGGACTCCATTGGGTAAGTGGTAGTCGTCTCGGTACTGTTGCTTTGGCCCCCAAGTTAGGTATTCGGCTTGCTTGTCGTACCCTCGCAGCATGAGGGTGCCACGCCACGCCTCCCGATCCTGGAACCAACAAAAAATATAGATCGATAGACACTCTTTATTGCACACCATATCAAACTGACAAGAAAAAAGTTTAAACTGCCTAACTACCATCTTATGGCGCAGCAACCCAAAGTCTTGGCATTCGACAATAAGAATCTCCACTCCAGTCTATACTGCGCCACATCTCACCAGTTACCGACGTGGAAACGGCACTAATATAGTACTTACATAAGTCTAGTAGATAAGTTAATGTCTGTAACACATTTGTCTGTAATTTCTAAAATAAATATAAAATAATTGGATCAAATGAAAGATACTATTTCTCCTTCACTACATGTTCCTAGTCAAAGCACAGAATAATAATAAGTACTACGTACAGAAGTTTCACTTCGCGAAGGTATTTAAAAAAAATTATGCTCAATGCCATTAACAATATGGTGTAATTTAGCCTGTCTCAAGAGTCAAGCACCATTTTGTTGACAAACGTCAGTGATCGGCACTGTGCCGAAGCTATAGGGCTGACTTCGGTAAAATGATGTGACGTGAGGTGCCAAACTGCGGAAAATGGCGGAGAAAATACATGATTTAGCATGAATTATCATGAATAATATTAACTACTTATTTACCTCTCAGTGTCTTGAGGCAACTTAAAAAAGTACATTCTGTGTTTTTATTATTATTTAGGCAGTTAAATAGTTAAATACTGCACTGTATTTAGTACACCATTTTCTTTATTTTCTTCCAACATCATACACAAGAATACGCGTGCGTGAGTCAATGTTCGCTCGTATATGAGGCCTTGTCGAATAGTATCCTGTAGGTGGGCCATCGTGCGTGTTTTGTTTTCGATGTAAACTCGCGGAGATGAACAGGCCTGGTCAAAGTCAAAGTCAACATACACACCTTAACTTTCAAAGTCCCAAGACATCCATGGAATATCTTCTCCTCCAACTCAAGGATGTGATCCCTGAGCGACAGTTCCAAGGCCTCGCTCAACGAGCAGTCGGGAGGCACCGTGAGCGATAACTGCAGTTTCTTGTGCCGCGTTTGGTGCACTGGGGGAGGCTGGAATGGAAAAACAAAGGTTATATGGAGCAGATTCTCTAACAACTGCCGCTGACTAAAAAAGTAGTATGGAGGGAAGTAGATGCTAGTGACGTCATAGATTCTAATCATTGTAGGAAATAGGCATTTTATAGAAGCTCTGGTCCTCTGTTACGGGCTCTAAAAAAATATTCGTTCTGCTGGACAAAGGCCTCACCAAGGATTTCCACAAAGATCTGCTGCCACTAGATTTTAGCGATTCTGCGGGCTATGTCAGTCACTTTAGTTCTGCGGATCTCCTCATTTCTGACTCGATTACGCAGAGAACTCTGAGCATAGCACGCTCCATCACCCTTTGGATGACCATGAGTCTTCTTATGAGGCCCTTGTGGGAGACAAGTATCAGTAGTATAGTACTTACGGGCGAAGCGGCGGGACTGAGCAAATGTAGCGGGCAGGGCGTAGCTCGGGCCACTACTAACGCCCGCTGGTGCTGTAATGCGGTCCGTAGCTCGCCGTCGCTTGTTCAACGTCTTCTTAACGGTACACACCGTATTACAAGTTCTAGAAAAGAGGTAAGTAGTACTTACAGGAGCAGATGCAGAGGGTAGAGCCACAACTATACCCCGCTGGTGTTGTAATGCAGTGTGTAGCTCGCCCTCACACAGTCCTCGCTTGTTTAACACCTGAATCTGCTTCTCCATGCGGCTCTAGACAAGTGGTTTGGTACTTACAGGCGTAGCGGCAGGACTGAGCAAATGTAGCGGGCAGGGCGTAACGCGGGCGACCACTAGTGCCCGCTGGTGCTGTAATGCAGTATGTAGCTCGCTCTCACACAAACCTCGCTTGTTTAACACCTGAATCTGCTTCTCCGTGCGGCTCTAGACAAGTGGTATGGTACTTACGGGCGTAGCAGCGGGACTGAGCAAATGTAGCGGGCAGGGCGTAACGCGGGCGACTATTAGCTCCCGCTGGTGCTGTTAAACACCTGAATCAGCTTCTTCGTGAGCTATACACCGTATTACAGACTCTAGATAACTAAGTGCTAAGTGGTACTTACGGGCGTAGCGGCGGGACTGAGCAAATGTAGTGGGCAGGGCGTAGCTCGGGCCACTACTAACGCCCGCTGGTGCTGCAATGCGGTCCGTAGCTCGCCTTCACGTAGTCCTCTTTTATTGAGAGCCTGGATCAGCGCCTCGATCTGGTCTTCAGTATGGTACACCTGCCAGCTAGGTCGGTCGCTCTGGGGATAAAGTTATGAAAATATTAGACTGGGATAACGTAATGTTTGAGTTCCAACTGAATGATTGAATGAACACGTTACACCTTAGGGCTATATTTCACCGGGACACCTGGTTGCGCCGCCATGGTGTCCCGGTGAAATATAGCCCTTACGGTGCAAAACCATATTCTGCTTCGTACTCGCATGGAATACCTTATCGTCACTACTAAATACAAGTGCAGAGGCTGAAAGCATCGAATATTGCGCTTGCGCCGCTTTGTCTAGGAGCACTATTGGAATAATAAAAGTTGAGGCTGCTAGTGGTTTCTTGGGAGAGTTGCCGCCGAGTTGGCGCCCTCATGTTCTGGCTGCAATCAGCCTTATGCAGTCCGTTGAGATTGCCAGCGGCTGCTCGAGCGAGTTGCCGCCCAGTTGGCGCCTCACCTTTCCATGCACAGAGCAAGTGGCGATGTCTCCGCTGCATACGAGGAGTTCCCTCAGCTGCTGCGTGCTGGGCTCGACCGCCGCCTTATGCAGCCCGTTGAGACTAGTCAGCGGCTTCTTGGGCGAGTTGCCGCGCGAGTTGGCGCCCGAGTCGTTCTCTTTGTCGCTGCTCGCTGGAACAAGTAGCAGTCAATGCAATTGTTGACGACTAAGCGACAAACTAACAACTATTTTCTCGCTCAAGATACGTCAATATTTGTGATTCAAATAGTTCTGTCGCTGCACTATTGTAGCGAGTGAGCAACCTTGAAGGTCACGTCTCAAATACGAATCTGACTCGTTAAAGGGTTAGCAAACGTGCTACTGTTAATATGTAAGATATGAATATGTTTAAAAGTTAACAACAATTTATTGAGTGACATTAAGTTGAACAACTTTACGATTTTGTTAAGATAATAAGTTAAGCTGCCATGCCCTAATAAATTAAATCAATACAGGGCGACATTGAAATCGTTGGCATCCTTTTAATTAAACTAAGACTCTACTCATGATACATAGTACATTCTCTGAATATGACACAAAGTCTTAGTTTAAAAGGATGCCAACGATTTAAAGTTCACCCTGTATAATCATGGACAAAATAAAAATTGGTAAAGTAAAATTGAACCAATGAATGAATTGTTCAAAATATACACATAGACGCAACACTTTTAATCTCAGATTTTAACATATAATGCAAATAAAAAGATGATAAATGCGATGAATGATTTTTTGATGACATACAGTTAGAATTTAGTGAAATAGCTTTTATTTACATGATGGCACATTATTTCTTTTTATTATTTAACACTTACCTGTCGGCTTTGGGAGCAATGAAGCGGGCAGTCGCGAAACTAAAACTATTGGTGACCCTAATGGACAAAAATGATTTTGTAGCAACTGTGTCGCCCAATTTTATCAATGGGTTTGCTAGGGTCCTGCGATTTTTAGGTTTAGGACTTAGTTTATTTGATAATATTTAATTCAAGTGCATTTATGTTAAAACCTGTGATAATTTAACATTACGTTTCATTTTTCATTCATTTCTAAGTCTGGTAAGTTATTATAGAGGGTTAAGCTGTAGGTACAAGAGATTACATTACATACAAAGATTTTTTAGTTACTAAACAAGCTGTTCAGAATAAAAAATACGCTTTTGTTTTTCGACTACAACATTTGCTGGCCTTCGGAACAACTGGCTCCCTAGGTAAAGTAACATCGTGAGCAGTATTAAAATTACTAGATTTGAAATTTGAAAATCGCTTCGCTCCAACTTTTTTTTAGCTATTCCGATCTGTAGTGATTGAGAAATTGATGTGACTTTTCTAGAGGGCTGCTAGTTCTCAAAGAAAAGGTTGTAGGGCCCAAAAGATGATGACATGTAAAGGGCTACCTTTTCTTTTTTAAATGAAATACCATGATTACAGATTATTACATATATTACATTAATATTATTACAATTACAGATATGTACCATCTTAGACTGCATCTCACTTAACACGAGGTGCGATTGCGGTCAAATACCTGCCTTGTCTAGCATAAAAAATAATAATAAAAAATAAATGGCGTTCATAAGTGTCATAATACTGGTCAAAATTGAATAAATATTTTTGATTTTATTTGTAGCGAATCGCAATTTCTATTCCGAACAGCCTGTCCAGTAAGCGTCAGGTAACCTACCTCGTTCAGTCTCGAACAGCTTGGTGACGTAGCTGAGCGTGTCGTCAGTCCGCGGCGGCGCCGGCGGGACCGGCTTGTCGCGGCAGGGCCCGCGCGGTTCTGCTCCGGCTTCTACGAATAGACCAGCCACGCGCTGGTTGATCCAGTACCGACGGAAGGCGCGGTCCGAACCTGTGGGCGAAGGGTTAACTCAGTACTTTAAGTTCAACTAGGCAGTGGTTAAATACAGCACACATAAATTTGAATCTTATGCTGTGAAGATACGGTTGGTAATATTTTTTTCCTAAGCCTGGTTTAAGCCGACATCATAAAGGTAGCAGGAAAGCGCTGGCCGCTACCAACCGAGTAACATGGAAAGCATTGGGTGAAGCCTATGTTAAGCAGTGGACGTCCTATGGCTGAGATGATGATGATGATGATTAAGCCTGGTTTAATAAGGGTTAAACGTAAAGGTTCACTTCATATAGCCCAAGCCCAACCTGCACATGATCATTAGATCATTTCTTCTTCACAGCAGAAGGACGAGGTCCCATTTTATAGAGGAAAATGGAGGATTGGACCTAACTCCTTGCAGATCAGACGAGTTGGGAAGGACTGATGTTCACATATTATTCTCCAAGTCGCCTCGTATGTCAGCTACAGGAAGAGTTTTTCAAAGGCCTAAGTTCGAACGTTTCCAAATAACAAGCAAATATGTCTTAAAATAAATGGCGATTGGACTTGCCAAAAGTAGTCTCCTTTCGTTATAGAATGAAAATGATAATTTCTTAAACTTACCCATATAAGTCACGGACTCGAATATCTCCAGCTGCAGCTCTTTGACCTTCTTCTGATATTCCAGCTTTTTATTTTCGTTATCCTTGTTCAGTTTCTCGATAGCGAGCTTGGCGTTTTCGTCCACGGCTTTGGCCTTTTCACCAGAGAGTTTCTGTTCCTCCTTCGTGGCGACCGCTTTTTTTCTTATTTCTTGGCGCTCGGCTACGACTTGCACTTCGCGCTTACGTTCATTGATCTAGAAAGAGGGTAGATACGTCTTGAGAACAATGCTTTATGTAAAATTTCGTGTGATGTAATAAATGAAATTGCTCAATGCTTAGGATTTGAGCTCAATCAAAAAACAAATGAACACGAGCGTCGGCCGTTTGGTGTAGTGGTTCGAAACGGACTACTATTCCGGAGGTTGCGGGTTCGATTCCCACACAGTACAAACATTTGTGTGCATGAACATATTTGTTTGTATTGGACTGGGTGTTTTCTATGTATAATATGTATTTACAAAAAAAAAAGTATTTAAGTATGTTTATATCCGTTGTCTAGTACCCATAGTACAAGCTTTGCTTAGTTTGGGACTAGGAGCGTAGTGTAAAATGTCCAAGGATATTTATTTATTATTTATTATTATTTATCGTGTATTAAAAGGTGGCAATATTTGTCTTTTTTCTGGGAATAATAAACAGAGGAAAAGCAAGACACTGCTTTTTTATCTTAGTCATAAAGTAGGATTTGAGTTCTCACCGTGAGAGTCCTCAGCGCATGTTTAGTGTTTTTGAGTTCCTCAAGTTTTTCTTCAATGATGTCTCGGACGGTGGCGTAGCTCAGGATTTGGTTCATCAGGCATTGTAGGACCACGAACTTGTCCTCTGGAACAAGAAGAAAACATTAATAAGACAATAGCATGGATTTACAGATTTTACTTTTTTGACAATGAGGATAGGTCCCGTTTTAACATTCATCGGTTGGCGCCACTGAAAAGTAAACGCTAATCAGTGGGCGCCACTCTTGAGTGAACACTCATTAGTTGGCGCCACTGTAGAGTAAAAGCTCCTCACTTGGCGACACTGTAGATTGAACGCTCATTAGTTGACGCCACTGCAGAGTGACCACTCATCAGTTGGCGCCACTCTAAGTAGAGTAATCAAGCCAATTGGATAGCGTATCGCTAAATTATGGACTCCATTTTGTATGGAGTAAGATTAGGTGTTGCCGCAGCCTCACTGGGGGGCCTCGGGGGGCCGGGGCCCGCCGGGTACCTACCGAGTTGCAGGTCGGCGACGTGAGCGGCGGCGAGAGCCCGCAAGAGCCGCGGGTGCTGCACGCGCAGCCTGAGCCCGGGGTCGTCGACGCTGCTGTATACATCGTGCCATCCACGAAGACGCGCCCCACCAATCTTTGGTCTCGGTCGCGCAGGGTGCGGAGAGTTTGATCCGAGCAATCCGAGCGTCATTATTGTAGTGTGCGTGCACTCATGGATGATTTAGCGTGTACCGATAACACTCAAACATTCGCGGAATCTATAGCCTCGATGAGTGGTCTCGGGGGCCCAGAGCCCGCTAGGGTGTCTCGGGGGGCCGGAGCCCGCTGAGGGGTCCCGGGGCCCGCTAGGGGTCTCGGTGGGTCGGGGCCCGCTGGGCGGACTGGGGGGCCAGGGCGGACTGGTGGGCCAGGGCCCGCTGGGGGGCCTCGGGGGGCCGGGGTCCCTACCTAACTGTAAGTCAGCTACGTGCGCGGCGGCGAGAGCCCGCAAGAGCCGCGGGTGCTGCACGCGCAGCCTGAGCCCGGGGTCGTCGACGCTGCTGTAGCCGCCGCGCTGGTGGTAGCGCCATGTTGCGCAGCGGTTGCCGGGCGCTGCTCCCGACGATAGCAGATGTAATCTGGGGATAAAGCATTTTATAAATTCACTTGGACAGAAAATAAACAATTTGCAACCAATGAGGGCTATCGTTTTTATACTTAACAGTTGGCACCCCTGGCGATTGACAGGACCTTACTCTACAGTGGCGCCGTCTTAATGAGTGCAAATGCGATAGTCCTCCTACCACTTTCGCGCTCACCAGTTAGTGCCACTGTCTTCGCTACTAGCAACTGACAGGACCTTACTCTACAGTGGCGCTAACTGGTGAGCACTAAAACGATAGCCCTCATTCTCCTAAGGGCCTCCGCTGAAACTCACGCGGGCGCTCGCACGCGTCTATATCGAATAATTGGCGAGGACAGACGGACATGACGAAACTATAAAGGTTCCTTGTCAGAACTACGGAACCCTAAAAAATAGTAACAGCGCAGTGTGGCGTGCATGCCTGTGACGTTTTCACACGCGGAGCGGGCTCATGCTGCGTACGTGCAATAAATTTTAATAGGGCACGCAATACAGATATCGGACGATCGAAACATGCACCCGCGCAAATTTTAGCGTAGTCTCCTAAAATCAGTCGGAGAATTCGCGAATTGTTATTTGGGCAATGGAAACATACCGTACGATGGCATCTAAATTTCAGTAGAAGGTATGCGGAACTAAGCCAGAATTCGACATTTCATCAGTGAATTTCGACGTCTATAATTAGTGAAACTGATGCTTACACGATTCATATCAGAAAATCTACAGTACATGTTTATTTATTTATATTAGGAAGACCATGGTTTACATCTTACCTCAAAACCTCGCTGACGGTCGTAGGGTCTAGCGGCAGCTTGCTGAGAGGCGTGGCGAGGTAGGTCTGCGACCACTTGCTAGCTTTGGTGGCCAGCTCGATCGCTTGGTGAGTGCCAATCTCGTCGTTCATCTCTTTTACCTCTGCCATAACATAAAATATTTATTAGAAAAATATTTAGGAACGTTAGTTTTGTTACGAGTAAAAGTGCGAGTAGTAACGTCTCCCAACAATGGAACACGTCAGGTTTCCTATATTAAGGTGCTCGTGACTGGCCACTTGAAACATACAGGCCGCTAATGACAACTTACTTGTAGTTGGAAAAGTACCTTCACGGTAAGTTTAAGCCCATGATAAACCTCAATGTATTATGTCTTCACTGTAAGGTGCTGAATACATGTACACCGATATTAGGAAGATGACAAGGGGCCACTAGTTGGTAAAGTACCTTCGTGAGGGTTATTTATTTATTTCATTAACAACAATCATATCTCTACCATTATCGACGACAAACCATTTTCTTTTTTAACTTTATGTCTTTCCTGTATAGTGTTGACTAGAGAGATATTACCCAGACGAACAGAGGTGACAACACTGTTAACTCTACGAAAAACCGCACTCGATTTTAAACTCTATACCCTCACCGTAAGGTCCATTAAAGAGGCTGCACTCACCGGTGGACTCCTGTATGCGTTGCTGCTCGTTGTATTCCTCGGCCTCGTCCTCCTGCAGGCCGAAGATAGTGGTGAGAAGCATCTGAACCAGGTCGCTGAACACGCCCGCGTGTTCTTTCTGGGTTAGCGCTTTCCTGAAAGGGGAATAGAATATTACAATGTAGTGTTAATTGTGGAAAATCTAAAACGTTATAACGGTATCGTTATAACTTATAACCAATGAGCTGCTGTCATAGTGACATTGACGTAATGTCAATGCCGTGATAAAATCTTATCGATGATTTTAGACGACAAACGTATGGACTTATCGCGTAAAATCGATATAATCGAGATAAAATCTTATCGTGGAGCGCAACCTAGTCGTGATATTCTAGTCCATGGACGCATTCTGGTCCTGGTGGGAGCTTTCTAGTCCAGGTGCTGGCATCCTGGTCCAGGTGGGGGCTTTATGTTTCAGTTGGGGACATTCCGGTCCATTAGGCCTAGGATGCACGCCGCGATAAACTTATATCGCGTCGTATTTTAGATTGTATGCGCTATCCATACTTTTGTAATCTATCATCGATAAGATTTTATTACGGTGCGCATCCTAACTCGGCAAGTAGTGGCATTCTAGTTCAAGAAGGAGGCAAATCTGATTAATTGGGCATCCTCGGTATGTTATTGTTATCGTTGAAATATGCGCGAGCTTTAGCTTGATGAAATATTAGTTACATTTAAAAAAAAACTTCTAGATTTTAACCCGGCGAATGCTCGATGCCCTGTTACAACTAAACTCTCTAGTCTGTACCCACCTGAAAGTATCCAGCTCCAGCGACGAGTGAAACGTGTCCTTGGTCTTCAGCACGTCGGAGTATGTGTGGACGAATGATAGCACCGAGAGGAAATCCCCTATGTGCTTTTGTGGTATGCCTTCGATCTCCACTGGTGTGCCTTTTGGGAGCGGCTGTGGGAGAAAGGAAAAAGATTTTCAGAAATAGCTAGCTGACACATGTTATGAACAACAGATTGTTCTTTATTGTCAGTTTGGCCCTAAGGTTTACTGGAGGAAAATGCCGAAAGCCATTATGTACACTGTTATATGTGCATATAAGTTTAAAATAAATAAATAAATCAAGCACCACAAATTTTCTGTCTTTTCTATTTAAATTCAGTTGGGTACTTAAAAGAATCACAATAATAGGGCATAGTATTATTTTTTCCATCTCGTTTAGTTCGTTTCAGCCAAATGACATCCATTGCTAGACAAAGGCCTCTGTCGAGGATTTCCACTAAGACCGGTCCTGCGTTACCTGAATCTACTTACTTCTCGTGGAAGGCTTGCCCATTTGTTCATCTACCTAATGATATTTTATTGTGCTTCCTAATGTATGTAGGATATGAGTGCGAAACGGAACGTAAGGATGTGTGAAAGAGTTAGAAGGAAGAGTGTGTGTGTGACGTACGACGACGTGTAGACGAACGACGATTGTTTTAAATTACTATTTTTATTATTTTCTATCTTGGGCAAATAAGTACGTGGGAATTAGAACCGCATTTCAATTCCTACATGTATAAGTAAATAAGTTAATATACAAGGCTCTGACCTTATGATCCTCCAGCTCGAGGTCGTGTTTCACCTTCTGCCACTCCTTGAGGTAGGCCTGCAGCCGCGCCTTACACTACTGGAAATATCAAAACAGGATACTGACCTTATGATCCTCGAGCTCGAGGTCATCTTTCACCTTCTGCCACTCCTTGAGGTAGGCCTGCAGCCGCGCCTTACACTACTGGAAATATCAAAACAGGATACTGACCTTATGATCCTCGAGCTCGAGGTCATCTTTCACCTTCTGCCACTCCTTGAGGTAGGCCTGCAGCCGCGCCGTCTTTTCCTTTTTCTTGGCTTTCTCCTCCTCCTTGCGCTGGCGCATCTGGTCTTCGGCGCGGCGCATCTTCTCTGCCAGCTCTTGAGCGCTCTTCTTGGCGGCTGGGTCGCTTGGTGGTTTGGCTTTTACTGTAAAAAAAGGTAGATAGATAAATCGTTTATTTGCAAACACTTATGTGTAGTTGCAAAAAGACAAGTGACTAAACGGTAAGAGACAAAGATGATAAACAAGTTTAATGAAACGAAATTAGCTTTTAAATAGTTCCCTGCGTCAGAGTGATGTGTGCCGCAGCGATGTAAAAAGCTAAGAGCTCAGTGTAAACACTGCCCTCAAAAGGGCATAACACCGATTGAAGGTTGAGACAATGAGAAAAGCACTAATTCTGAAGGTTGTTGGACCAATTAAAAGGCAGTAAATGTTTAGACAGGCAGCTGTTTAAAAGGAAATATTTAAAGATTTAAAAAAAAAAAAGATTTTAGTAAATTACGAACAGTTTTTACTGAAGATCATAAAAACTATCATTAAGTTTATTTATGTTAATAACATCATAATTCATAGTACATATTTATTGATCGATGTTTACTTCAATTTTTTCTGTCAATTCAGAATATGAGCCCCAAGGCCAAAATTCAAATCAAATCAAATCAAATTTCTTTATTTGCGTAATCAATGCTAAAGAATTATTTCTTTTTCATACCTTCAGATTTGTCGGACTTCTTTACGAACTTGTCCATAGACTCCTGTCTACCCTTCTTGTCCGGACTGGGTTTCTTTGCGGACTTGTTCAGCTTAGACGCAGACCCCGGCTTGGCTTGGCTCTTGGAGGCAGGCGGCGAGCCGTTGGTCTTCATCAGCTTCTTGGACGACGGGAACTCGGGCGGAGAACCGGTGAAGATCTGCTCGAAGTGTACCTTGGATATGTTATACTTGTCCAGGGCTGCTTTCTGTAGAAAAAGAAAGTAAAGATAAATATGATACCAAATCAGATGGTGAATGAGGAGTATCCTGCTGGGGAGCTCCTTGAACATGTTAAAATGCATGGGACAAATCTGATTATAGTTTGGGACTGATTGCAGATTAGCGCAAAAGAAAAATGTTTGTACTACTAATCTTATTTTCTCAATGCAGTAATATTTTAATGACATTTATACCATTGAAATATAAACCTTTTCTCAGATACATAGTAAAAAGTTCAAAAACATCAATCAAATTAGAACTTGTAATTAATCATCATCCAGAAAAAAGATTTGAAGGAAGTCCAAAGCCTATTTACGTCGCGACAAGAACCGCCGCAACGCTAATGCTGAGTCGCTGCTAAACGCCGGATCTGGCTAGACGACAACCCTCGAAAGTGTAGGGGGTCCCTTAAATAATCAATGCTACTGTTCAATATGACACACTATTCCTACCTTGCAGGTAGGGAAGCGCTGGACGCAGGCCGCTACCAATCGATCAACGTGGAAAGCATTGGGGGAGGCCTATGTTCAGCAGTGGACGTCCTATGGCTGAAATGATGATGATTCCCACCTTGATCCTGATGACGCCGCCAGTCTGCTGCTGCACGAACTGCTTGAGGAACAGGCGGTTCTTGTCACGGGTATAGACGCTCTTGCGCCTTTGCCCGCCTTGACTGCAACTGTACTCCTGGCAGGACGCTGCTGCAGTAGACACCCACCTTGATCCCGATGACGCCGCCGGCCTGCTGTTGCACGAACTGCTTGAGGAACAGGCGGTTCTTGTCGCGGGTATACTAAAGACGCCCTTGTGCCTCTGCCCGCCTTGACTGCATCTGTACTCCTGGCAGTACGTGTTGCAATAGACACCCACCTTGATCCCGATGACGCCACCAGTCTGCTGCTGCACGAACTGCTTGAGGAACAGGCGGTTCTTGTCGCGGGTATACTATAGACGCCCTTGCGCCTCTGCCCGCCTTGACTGCAACTGTACTCCTGGCAGTACGTGTTGCAATAGACACCCACCTTGATCCCGATGACGCCACCAGTCTGCTGCTGCACGAACTGCTTGAGGAACAGGCGGTTCTTGTCTCGCGTATAGATGCCCTTGCGGCGCGCACGCGGTCGTGCGGCGCGGTGCCTCTGCCCGCCTTGACTGCAACTGTACTCCTGGCAGTACGTGCTGCAGTAGACCCACCTTGATCCCGATGACGCCGCCGGCCTGCTGCTGCACGAACTGCTTGAGGAACAGGCGGTTCTTGTCGCGATGTAAATAGGCTTTGGTCTTCCTTCAAATCCTTTCTCTTTCTTCCTTGCGCCGCGCGGTCGTGCGGCGCGGTGCCTCTGCCCGCCTTGACTGCGACTGTACTCCTGGCAGTACGTGCTGCAGTATAGTCTGGTCCGTGAGCACGTAGAATTTTGTCCAATGTACCCTTGGTTACCCATCCTTATCGCTCGCGCGTAATTATGTTGCTATCGCGCTTGCACACTCACTGCGGGTGCCAGTCGCACAGTCGCGACAGTAATATAATTACGCGCGAGCGATAAGGATGGGTAGCTAGGGGTCATTGGACAAAATTCTACGTGCTCACAGACCCGGCTTTAGACACCCACCTTGATCCCGATGACGCCGCCGGCCTGCTGCTGCACGAACTGCTTGAGGAACAGGCGGTTCTTGTCGCTGGTATAGACGCCCTTGCGGCGCGCACGCGGTCGTGCGGCGCGGTGCCTCTGCCCGCCTTGACTGCAACTGTACTCCTGGCAGTACGTGCTGCAGTAGACACCCACCTTGATCCCGATGACGCCGCCAGTCTGTTGCTGCACGAACTGCTTGAGGAACAGGCGGTTCTTGTCGCGTGTATAGATGCCCTTGCGCCGGCGCACGCGGTCGTGCGGCGCGGTGCCGATCTGTCCGGTGCTGCCCTCTTCAGATTCGTCGAACTGCTCAACCTCGTAGGCGTATGCTGTTGCTGGAAGCGTCGCTTTGCTGGAGAGTAGATATACATTGATTTATTTAATGGCAGATGAAGTCATTTGTTTATTTTAATGGTACCTCAAAATCAAAATCTAAATCAAAAATATTTTGTTCAATTTAGAGCACAAGGGGCACTTGTGAACGTCAAAATATTGTAAATAAAAAAAAGGTAGCCCTTATGGGGCCCTTTACATGTCTCCTTATCTTTTGGGCCCTACCATACGCTACCTTATGCTTCGAGACAAACATATGGCAAGTGCTGAGAAGAAATCATTTAAGGCAATCTTACATAGAGTACATAAGACATAAGGCATTTTCTGACAGTAAACCTTGGGCTTTTGAAGTTTTGATTGTACACAAACTCTTTATAAGTGGACCTTTTCAAGGCACTTATATACACATCCCAAATACAGTTTGCCCTAACCACTTTCTAAGTTTATCTTTCCACTGGGACAAACTTGGCCTCCACTTGTTGAGTTTTTTGTCAGTTTATCAGTTATGCTGCAGAGTCTGGTAACTTAAGAACTGAAGTGGTAGGAAAGACAAGCGGGAAAATTCGAGTATGACAGCTGGTACTGAGAAGTGATGGTAGTAACTTAATAAACTTTGTTAGCCTCTTGGTTATTACAAGGCAGGATATATAGGGTCCTTCTAAATCAGCTACGTTCCGTTTAATGGGAGCATGTATACGTCACACTGAATACGTTCCCAAAGTTTGAGCCAAAAATTCAGGCTAGTTTCCGAGATAATTAAGGAAACAACTTCATTTCTTATCAACCCAATACAACACCCTGTTCAGCTGATTCACTACTACACTGACAAAAATCCGCACGCACACGAGCTTACGTAATGGCCGCCATTGCGCTTGTGCTGCCGTTGGGCCACTGGCCGCGAACACAAGAGTGCCGCCGGACGACGGACCGGGCGCCACACAAGCTATTCTAGGGCTACTACTAGTTATTTAAGGAATTAAATTAAGTAGAAAATTAAAGTTTATTTATTTTTGGTAACATAAAAAAATCTTATGTGGTAAGTACTTATTTAGTGGCCTTAATGGAATGATGTTTATTCAAAAGTTCGTTAAAATACTTTTGCGCTTGTAAAAATCTTTTATTTCAAACGTAGCAACGAAACGAAGCAAAAAAGTTAGTTGCCGAAATCAATGACTTATTTTTATGCCATACACAAATGGGATAGTTACCATGACTATGAAATTTAGAATTACGGTTATTATTACGATAAAGCAGGCACATTTTTCATGTTAATTTTAATCGCTTAATATCCCCTTAGCAAATTAAATAAAAATGTGATTCGTAATTGACTCGATCTAGCCATACCTGTCTTGAAGTCTTTGCATCTTGGATATGTATGTAGTTGATCGGATCCACGAGCAGAATTATTTTTGACTTAGCTTTCAGGTCTAGCTTCGGATTTACCACGCCGTCCTCATTTTCGATACATTCCCACAACTCCTCTAGCTCGAGGTATGACTTTACGGCGAATTTCCATGTGTTGTAGTTTTCTCTCCCGGTCAGTTTGTCAATGTGAACTGTATTTGTCGACATTGCCTCGGAAACTGAATTGTACTTTTAGCTGAAATAAGCTGAAAGAAAACTATCTGCGGCAACCTAACCTCAACTATTTTTACGCGGTACTTTTCGGAATTAAACTTTTTACAAAAAATTTTACTTTCAGGGGCTGGGCCCATAACCTGAAGCAATAATTAAAAGACTGAAAGTTTAAATAAGTATGTATAATAATTGTTCTCAATGGATTTACAAAAGAGTATGCTCGCAGTAGGAAAAAGTATGGCGGAGAGAGGGCTAGAGATGGGGTCACATCCGGAGGGTGACTTCACTAGTGTTGTGTTCAATTGCAACACTATCCATATCTGTGCTCGGCTTCATACAATTTTTGACACATGCTGCATCTATCCATATCTATGGTTTTAACAAATCCACAGATCTATCCATATTATCTGTGATGCAGCATGTGTCAAAAATTGTATGAAGCCGAGCGTGCCACTTTTTAAACGTCATTAGTGTCATTTTAACGAATTTTAGTGATTGCCGCAACGTAAAAGTAATCGTATCATCGTACTGCATTCGCAAAGTCATCGAATGATATCGTGTGACTCGATTCGAAAATGAATAAATTCCGATAAAACTGATATTTTGTTAAATTTATAGCTAGTCTGACTGTGGATTAAAATAATTTTGTAGCGGTACACGTTATTCTACAATTCTACATTATTAATTTGCAAATAATGTTATTATTTTTGTTGTGCCTAATGTTTATGAAAGTAATGATCGTTATTCCATTATGTTAAATAGTACTACTAGTAATTCATACTTAATTCCATACTTTTAAATATCCTAGTAAGTAAATGACATAGTTTCATAAAATAAAGACTATTTACTCAAGCTTTTTATTTTTAATAAATGTAAAAATGCGTAGTTTTGCCAATACGTTTTCTTTCATAAAGCTAAGTCAGGTACCTAGTTTTGAAGATATTTCTAAACGACAAAATCTCGGCCGTCGTATACATAGACTAGTAATAGTGTATACTGCGACGCACAGATGCACAAATGCAAATAAATTTACTAAGACGCGCCTTAAAAATCATGGCCTTTGCTGATTGATTTTTCGATGGTATCGTGAGTCCGTTTTACTGTGATTAACATAAGATAATAAGGATAGACAACGATATGAGAGTAGGCCTGCAACATTAAAGTGATAGCTCGCCCAATCAGTCGATCAGCTAATCGGCTATCAGCTGTGCTGTGACGACTGCTGTGAGTTGTTATGACGTGAGTGTAAACAACAAAAAAGTGTGCAGTGGTAGTGAGCGTTGTGTGTGTTGTGTCTCGTGTTCCTGTGCAGAATGAATACACTACAGCTTTGTTGTGTGAGTAAAAAATACAGCATGTTCCATTATGTAAGACGAAATGAATTTTTATTTTTGTTAGAAAATGTAACTTTGTAAAATCATTATAAAACACATACTCAAATTTGGTGAACTTGTTCAGTGTACCGTATAGATGCCCCCATTAAAAGGAATGTAGCTAGTTTAGAAGGACCCTGTATAATTTACAAAATATGTAACACTAATAAGTGCAGGTCTATGAAAGAACAGAAAAATCCAGTCTGATTTATCACTTAAATGACAAGAGTTCACCAATCTACAACAAAATGAAGAAAGAATGGATTACATGAAGTAGTACTTTAGCACCTTCTGATTTCTAAAGCAATTGTTAGCGTAGTGACCACAAATAACACAGTAGTACCTTATTTAGTTGTAATAAGTTCTATTTTCCCTTGAACAATGAATAGTTTGAAGTATGATGTACAGTACTATCAACTATACAAGGGCTGCTTAGAAGAGTACTAGGTAGGTAAATAGTGTTATTTATTTTGTAGCTATTAATGTCTTGTCACTTTTTATTCACATATAAAAACTGTTGTGAAAGGCTTATGTACAGTAAAATATAATGTACAGTAAAATATAATTGCAACAGTATTTTGAACCTTACCTCAACACATGTTTAAGGAAATACAAAAAACTACTGTTTGTTTAACCCTTCTAAGGGTGAAGGTCGAGTAATTTAGTGGGAAGAATCCAATAGGGAAATAATATTATTATAATCTTGTTGGTACTAGAATAGAAGCAATTCCTATAATAATAAAATTTTATTTGGTAAATTGAATTATTTTAATTAAAGTTAATTAATTGAAAATAAAATATTACTCAAAAATCAGAGTAATATTGTTTTTAGTATTATATTAGACATTGTTTTTATTTAGCTCATTTATTAAAAATGTAAAGATTAAAACACTGTACCTAACACTGTTACTGTACTAGTATACTGTTATTGCAATATGTTCTGGTTAGATAAGATATTAAAAGATTTGATATGTACTGTTATTTATGTCAAAATATTATTATTGTTTTGTTACCTTCATTTTTGAAATTTAATTATTATAGTTTTGCATGAGTCATCATTTCATAATAATAAACAAGTATTGGTAACAAAGCAATGCAAGTGGCAATTCTTACCACTTGTTTATTATATCTCTATTGCTATCATGTTATTGATCTAGTCAATCTAATACGGGCCAGCTATGAAAGTGCACTGAAGATAAAAACTACATAAAGATAAAATAGTATAACTAACCTGCCTGGCTGCTGCTTTTGGGCCGTGACGGAGAGCACATGAGCTTCCCGCCACAAATCTCCCTCCAAGCAGGCCTCAACAGTTTCCCCAACAAAGTACCTCTCCCTCACAAAGTTGAATATGTCCTCCGACATCTCTGCAAAGGAACACCGGTTTGTCTGCACAGCTAAGTACAGAATTGGTATACGGAGCTCCATAGGAAAGTCCTTCAACAACCTCCTCGCTGCCTTCTCACTTTCCAGCGCTTCAGCATATGTCAAATTGTTCTTCCCTGTCATCTCACATGTCCACACCATGGAGTTAACCAAAATGATCCTCTCACAGTATTCCCTATAAACAAAAAATAACAAAAAGTTATGATTGTGCCGAAAAAAACGCACCGCGGCTCATCGATACGGCGTAACATGGTGTCACGCTCGCCTAATTGCGCGGCCTGACGCACGGCAACGATGCCAACCGTCCTTCTCATTGATAACTACAAAATCTTGTACTAAACCGCAAAAAATGCGCGAAATCCACTTGAATAAATGAAACTCACTCATAGTCCTTGAATATCTCGTCGGTTAGCTCGCAGTGAAACACCTCGTCGTCGTCGCGAAGGTACTCAGACGCCGTAGATTTCTCAAAGGCTTTCCTTTTCAACAGAGGCATGTTAGGAGTTCGCGGGTCACTTCGGTGGGAAAACGATAAATAGTCCGATTTACAATATCACACCCACGGTATTATTTGTCACTTTGCACGGCGCATCGATCGATATATTCTTTTAAATGAAACATTAGGAAAATAATTATATTTATCAAGAATATTACGAGTGAAAATTGTTGCGTGGTTTCAGTTGACAAGCCAAAAAACGGCGCGCTGTGCGCTTCTTTTTACGCCAGAAACATATGAACGGGGTTACTACTACTGCCACAAAAACTACTAAACTAGGAGTATTTTATTCACATCAGTAATTCGACGACGATACGGACGATAAAAATTATTTTATAAAATAAAAATAGTATTAGTGGTATGGTGGATTTGGAATTTTATGTATTGTATTAATTTGTGTTTTAAATATGTATTCACATTGTGTTGCAGTAATTTTATTCTGAGGATCTAAAAGTTAAAAGGCATAATACTCAATTCACCTTTGACCTCCTATTCCTATTTATTTGCCTAAAATGAAGAATGCCACCTGGCATTAAGTCCGCCACTGTACAGTTGTTTTTGTGCAAAAGTAAAAATAAATAAATAATTAAAATCTAATCAATTTTATTTTATTGGTTTGAGTCGTTACGGCTACGGTTTACAAAAATCAAAGTAGGTATTCGTATAAGACGGCCCCTCTTCTAACGAAGTTTATTGAGAGCCTCATTTAAAAAAGGCAACCCTTTTTTACTAAAAAAGTCATTGCTAAATTAAAGAATTTTCTTGCCTACATGCGGAAAAGTCCGGTCTTTGGGGCCGCTGTAGCCCGGGGCTCCCCGTTTTATTTCCAAACTCACGAGATCGGAGATGGGTATTTCGCCAAAAATGGTCGATTTTGCCTAATTTCCTTGGCACGTAATTTTTTTTTGTTTTTAACTATTTTCATTTTCCCATTGCATTAAGAAGCAAAAACTAAGCCAATGTATCTAAAAGGGGCGTCATAATTCGTTTTAGAAACAAAGTTATGATGGTCATGAATTTTTGGTAGCCAAGGAAATTATTATACAATTGTAAATACTGTTTTCTCTAAGTTTTCTTCTGTGGTTTGCTTTTTTTTAATTCTACCCATTTTAGTGTACCTTCACAAGCAAACATGCCAATGAATATTATTCATGATAACGTTTTTACACAACTAAGAAAGATAAATGCAGTAGATTGAGTTAAGAGTTAAAAACAAGTTGTGCTATATCTATTCTGATACCCATTTCTTAAAAGTAGAAGAATGCCTACTGTTTGCGGATGATCTCAAACTTTGTTTGGGTGTCTCCAGTGTTCCAGACGCTATAGCATTGCAAAGCGACATTGATGCGGTATTAGAATGGAGTGTTGTCAATCGTTTAGCATTTAATACTGACAAGTGTAAAGTAATAACTTTTTCACGTAAACGTTATCCATTGAATAATAATTATTATTTAAATGACACTCCGTTGGAAAGAGTTAATGACATACGAGACCTAGGTTTAATGTTAGATTCTAAGTTGGACTTTCACAAACATGTGACAAAAATTTGTAAAATGACTAGTAAGATATTAGGGTTTGTTATAAGGACGTCTGCTCAATTCGACGATATTAGGGTAGCTAAGATATTGTATAGCGCATACGTCCGTAGCAAGCTTGAGTATGGTTCTATCATTTGGGATCCCTACGAGGATAAATATGCCTTGATGATAGAAAAAATTCAACGCAAGTTTGCTCGCTGGCTGTATAAAAAGAGATACGGATATTACCCTTACTTGTACCCGTCCTTGTTTGTCTCTGGCATGGTAGATTTGGAGACTCTCAAGTTTAGGAGGATAATGTCCAGTATAGTCTACTATCTGTCGATTATACACGGTAAAATTGAAAGTCCCCAGATAGTAGCAAAAGTAGGCTTATTAGTGCCCACGCGAATACCACGGGATGAAACCGGGATTATTGAACCGCGTCGCCGCCCTAGGCTGCTACAACGGCCGGTCACGCGCACCACTCGCGCAGCGAACGCGCCTTCTACCCGCGCACTATGTTTAATCGGGGACTTGGTTGCTCAGCACGACGATATCGATATATTTGCCGACCGCTTGGGTACAATATTAGTATTAATTTATCGACTTTTGTGTAATTAATAACTATAATATGGACATTAATACTAATATCTGGACATAATAATATTTAATACTTATTCTTATTATGTAGGTAATATGACATTCTAAGACAATTATTTATGTATTTAATTTTTGATTTTATTTGACTGATTTGTTATCGTTTTACTTGACAATTGTACACAATATTGACATTTTTAATTGACATTATTTGCACGATTGTACCTATAACTTGTTGGCGCGTTGGATTTTCTGTAAGCCTTCAAGCAGCCTTCTAGAATAAATAAATAAATAAATAAAATGTAAATTTTAAACTTATTTCAATAAAGAAATACTAAAAATTTGACTTTACGCCGAATCAAAAATGTTTTTTTTATAATTTCCTAGGCCATTTTAAGCCACGGAAAACAAGGAAATTAGGGCCAAAGAAATTAGATTTATGCCTAAAAGACACCACAAACAAAAACCTATTTACCCTATCCATTTACTATTTAAATCATGGGTTAACCCCTACAGACACTACATTTGTGTAAGTAAACATTAAAATTAATCCATTGTTTAGCTGCAAAAAACCGCCCAAAGAAATTGACTTTTTAGGAAACAAAAACCCAAGGAGGGACCTACTTACGCGATTTGTCGCGAAACTGATCAATGATGACGTACTGTCTTGCTTTGATGGCCACTTGGGACGCCATGGCCGAGTGTAACGGTGCAGTGCGTTACATTCTAAGTTTTTTCGTTTCGTTACTACAATGGTCGAAAAGAAGACCCAAGGAAATTATACTTTTGACCTGGACAAGAACTTAACTTCACTTTATTTTCTTTCTATATGTATTTGACATTTAAAGTTTTTATTTTCCGATAGCCAAACGTTTCTCAAATGTAAAGAAAGTGCTATTAGAATTAAATTACGCTTCAATTTCTTATAATGTGCCTTCATTTTGGCAAACAACAGTAATGGACATAACAAGGAAATTAGAAAAACGACTTTTGATTAAGTTTTTCTACCGTATTATTTGTAGTTTCTGCTATTGTAATAGCAAAAACAAATAAAACTTTTGATGAACTTTCCCATAAAAATAGTTGTATACAGATAGATATAAAAAAACATGTGTTCGCCTGCCTGGACACAGAAAATTTACTGTTTCGGCAAAATACCCAGATCTAAGTTGCGGTTACGCAGGTCGCAGCCTAGTTGTGTTGTGATTGTCATCGCCCGTAAACTAACAATTTGCATTTTATAGAAGCTGCGAGTCCATAACCGTAGTAGGCTTCGTGAGCAGATTTATTATTTATAGCGAAACTATTAAATAAAATGGTAGTTTACCCAATGCAAAGATGACAACACTGTAGACTGTAGAGGCTGCGTTCATCACATATAATATTTTTTCGTAGATTTTTAGTTAATCTGTGCCATTTTTCTTGTGGAAGGTGAACGCGTCAATTTCTGACAGCGATAGCGCTGCCCACCAAGTAAATTGATAAATATCGATGAAACAGATATTAAAAAAAAAACTTTTGATGGATACCTCAAAGTATCAGTCCTCCCTCTTCTTTCGGCTTATTCCACTATTCCCCGTTGACAATCCCCGTCAACGGGGATTAGTGAACTTTTTGTTCATTTATCTCCTTAATTAATTGGAGCTTTTAAATGGGGAATAAGCCCCTTCTTTCTTTAGACAGTGGCAAAACGTGACAGTTGTAATGTCGAAAAGCCTTAGCTCCGGCGTTTTTTTGTATGGAGTTACATCGCTCCGTGAACGGATTCGATTTTAGTTTCGATCAAAAAGTGCCACTTTTCTAGAGCTACAGATTCTCGCACCTCACACGTCACATATTTCTTCAAAAATTGTATTCAGTAAATTGTATTGTGTACATAATAATTATCTGAATACCGCTGTTGATTAATCCACTCCTAATGGCACAAGCTTTATTATTACGAAGGAAGGGCAAGCGGGAATAATTTTTTTACTATATTTTGACGTTCATAAGTGCGACTAGTGGTCTAAATTGAATAAAATATTTTTGATTTTAAATTACTAATATACCTATTATTAGAGATGGGTTTCCACCCGGGTAAAAACCTACATGAGGGTAAAAACCCAATAAAAACCCGTTTCATTCCACCCGTGGGTGTTTACACCAGGTGAAAACAAATAACTTTATAATTTTTTCAATTGGTATCTTTTCTTAGTTTTATTGATTTGTTCTCATTTAAGTTTATTGATTGATAAGTAATAAGTCAAATTTAACACTAATATGCATTTATATCGTGGCCAAATCGTAAAATTGATCACGTTATGATGATGTGACCAATTATTTTATAAAATGGTGTTATTTCAAGAATCGTTGAACCGATTTAGAAGAAATTTAGTAGGAACACAATAATTTGTGATCATGGCAAGGACATGGAGGGGGGGGGGGGAATGCCAAAGATGCCAAACTCTCTTTGATGACATTACGGTATAAAGTTACAAATAACAACACCAACTACAAAGTACTTCTGCTTAAACACTTGAAATCGAACCGCCCTTCCGCCACTGTAACGCATTGTAACGTTTTTCAAGACCTCCTCTCCCCCCAGATTGCATTACGTAACACCAGAACGCCCCCTTAGCAACAAATACCACTTCTCACTTTAAAAAAAAACGCTATTTTTGTTTTCACCCACCAGAATGGGTGATAATGGGTAAAAACCGGTGGGTAAATCACCCAGTTTTAACCCAATCGGGTGAAATGGGTTTTTACCCACTACCCATCTCTACCTATTATACAATCATGTATTTAAAAAAAATCCGGTGTATAATATTTTATCGATATTTCAATTATTCGATTTCTTAAAATGATGAGAACAACACTAAGTAATCCGGAAAGAAATGTCATTCATCGTTTCATTTATTTCATCTGTGGTTTCATCTGTGTAGGCTGCGGTTTGTCGTGTTATTTTATTTTGAAATAGTTTTCTTAATCGTGATGTCGATTCCGGTTTGCTGAAGTAATAGTATTTTTTCTAGCAATTCTTCACAATTTCTTCAAAATGCCTAAAGAACAATATAGGGAGACATACGTGGGCCGAAAGATGTAAGTAAGGTTATGTTTACACGGTCATATGGTTATTGATTCACAGGAATTTCATGGTAAAACGTACAAATAAAGCTTTATAGCTCTATGAACAAATTCCTCATATATTTCCTAACTTAGTTCTTCAATTCTACAACTTTTGAAGCTATATCTTCATCACTAAAATAGTATTTCATCATCATCCAGATATTATTTTACCATGTTTTTTCGCCATAATATCGTTTATAAACATACTATACCAAAAAGACAGTTTCCGAAATGAATATCTGTATTCGAGCTAAATTATTTATTCTATTTATTGTAAAGTCGCAGCAACAGGCTCCGTTAACATGTCCGTTACGTTTCAGTTCTCATGTGACGTTCAATGTGGATAGTCCGTCGCAGATCCAGCAGGCCGCTCACATCCAGGTGATCACGAAGAGCTTGTACGCCCAAGATGGGCAGCGGGTGCCTGCGACATATGGCGTGCTGGATAGACGTATGGTATGAAACAACAAATAATCCGAACATATTAATTCGCAAAAAGCCACATAACATGCTATTTTTAGTGGTTTTATGTTAACTCAAACTCCTGAAGATTATGGTACTTTCTTTTATCTAAAGCCTTACTTCTTCTTTTCTTGTCGACAACAAACCTACACAGTGTCAGCTCAAAACTCCGCCACAAGAGTGGCGTTGTCAGTAGCACTCAAAAAGCCTTAATGGCAGTATTGTTTGATTTGGAAATTAAAGCCATCTTTGAATGTAATGTAGAAATTTAAAAGGTATACCTGCACATAAAATACCACAAAATTTTGGATTAATAATGATTTCTTTTTATTATTATTTTATTATAGCTTTACCCACATAACAGTATTATTTAATTAATCCGAATTTCCTTTGTTTGTTGTTGTTTGGGTAAAAGCCTCTGAAAAGTGATTTCATAGCAAACATTAATCAATCACTCCTCTACTGATGCAGGGCACAAACCAGAAGGACGCAAACTGCGAGACGTGTGGCCTGGGGCTGGCGGAGTGTGTGGGCCACTACGGGTACATCGAACTAGCGCTGCCCGTGTTCCACGTGGGCTACTTCCGGGCTACAATCACTATACTGCAAACTATTTGTAAAGTGAGTATGAATAAAAACACTGAAATTACCATTGTAGGTACTATCACTATACTGCAGACTATTTGTAAAGTGAGTGAGAATTAAATCATAGAAATTACCAGTGTATGGGATTATTGTAAAACATGTAACAACTTTGCTTTTATAAATCTGAATCTAAATGGTATGTTTAATGAAAATTTAAAAAGTATAAAATTTGCACCATATTGAATAAAAGGTGAATGATTTTATTAGGGAAGCTACAGTTTCCTATTAAACGCTATATGCGGCGTATGTCGTCAGCGTCAATAATGTTCCTTTGATGTCCATAAGTCGAAGTCAACGTGTGAAAAAGACCACAATAGTACATTTCTATGGTAAGCACGTCGGTAGCAGGTACGTCGACGGCATTTATAGCCTGAAATCCACATATTTTTTTGTTATTTTTCTTTTATAAGCTTCGTCAGAGATAATACTAGTAAGACAGCAACAAACAAACCTTTTGTTTTTTTTCCAGGAATGCGCAAAAGTGATGCTCCCCGAGCCAATAAAGAAGTCGTACCGTCGCAAGTTCATGAACCCGGAGTTATCCTACCTACACAAGAAGAGCCTTCGCGCGGCCGTCCACAAGAAGACCAAGACGTGCAGCAAGTGTCCCTCCTGCGACGCCCTCAACGGGATGGTCAAGAAGAGCTCTGCGGGTATCCTCAAGATCGTGCATGAGAAATACAGGTGCGTTGTTTTTGACAGCGTAAATACGAATCCATCTTCATAGAAACGCCCGAGCGCGGTTTGTATGTGAGCGCGCCAATAGTATGCGTCGCGCACGTACACACTGACAAAATTTAGCGTGGATTAGCGGTGAGGTGCTGAATTTTGTCAGTGTGTGCGTGCGCGCCGCATACGTATTGGCGCGTTCACATACAAACCGCGCTCGGTGCGTTTCTTTGAAGATGACCTACTCATTTGTATTTACTCTGTTTTTGAGGAATAGAGACACCCTATTGGATGATTGCTAGACTTCAGTTTGTGAGTGTTCAGGCATTTGATTTGATAACATTTACTTTCTCCCACAGTATCAGTAACTCAAATCAAATGAGGGATGAGGACATGCCTCATTTGCATTATTTAACGTACAGGTTGAAAAAAGTAGTGACAATTTGAAAAAAGTTTTTATAATATCATTCAGTCTTAACTTTTTTATTAGAATTGGGAAAAAGCCGAGGCAAACGCGATATGAGATTGTATAGCTTGACATTTCGCGTTAGTTAAGAACTACCTTTTCTTTACTGTATATCACGATTTCTCAAACTTTATGCTACATACTCTTATTAAATCTTTCAGACAACTAACCTCTTTAATTTAAAAAGAAGTTTCTTTATTTCACAAAATAGTAAGTCAATCTAATATTGTTTATTTGTCTTCAGAGCAAAGAAGCCCGACGATCCCGTAGTGTTGCGAGTGCTGAATGAATTCAACGAAGCCAAGGAGTCCAATAAGGAGCTGGCAACGATGATTAACAGCGGCCTGGTCATTGAGATGAGCCCTTTGACGGTAAGTTATTAGAGACATTTGATCCTATGACTTCAGGTTTTTGGGACCCTGTGCGTCCACGCGCACTGTGAGACCTCATAATAATGTTTGTGAACACTGGTGTTATTTTCGCAAGTGTTAACTTACGAGCCCCCAAGCGGTAGCCGGCTGCCGCGTAACAATGAGGGTTTTCGCGAATGAAAAATCCGCCAGATGGCAATACGTAGACGCGAGGTCCAAATGCTGCATAATTGGTTATTTTTGACATGACATTGACAGATATGTCAAAATCCACCAATCACGCAGCAGTCAGACCCCACATCCACGTCCCGCCATCTAGCGGATCTTTCATTCGCGTAAACCCTCATTGATTATCTAGTGTCTAGATTCGCGGAGCTTGAAGAATTAAAAATATTTAGTACCGACTCTAAAACTTGCGCGGATGCACGGAGCGGATGCCCGCTTATTAATTAATGCACAAATATTCACGCCCGAACACCTCGCATGCACAGCTTATCGCCCTCGCGAGTTTTACCCAGAGCAAGAGACTCAAAAGCGACATTTATTATGTCCAGTACTTGAGTACTTATTCGTTCGAAACCCGTCTACTTAAATTTTCTATATAATGGAACGCGAAAGCCCAAAACATGTTTAAAATTTACCATAAATAAATTCCCCAGGTCATCAACCTGTTCCGTCGCATCCCCGACGAGGACATCCCACTGCTGGGCATGAACGTGAAGCAGTCGCGGCCCGAGGACCTGATCCTCACGCGTCTGCCCGTGCCACCTATATGCATCCGTCCCAGCGTGGTGTCTGAGATCAAGGCCGGCACGTGAGTGTGACCTTTAGCTATATTGTCTTACTACCGGCCGCCCGCGACTTCGTACGCATGGATCCCGTTTTGCCCCCTTAGGAGTGGAGTTTCGTAAAATCCTTTCTTAGCGGATGCCTACGTCATAATATCTACCTGCATGCCTTTCAGCCCGATCCGTCCAGTGCAGGTTTCGGCTGTGCGGTGATAAATCACTATGTCAGTCAGTCAGTCACCTTTAGATGGTTTAGAGTTCCTTGAACGCCCAGCGTGATCTCCGTGATCAAGGCCGGTACGTGAGTGTGACCTTTAGTTATCAGGGTCCCTTGAATGCAGATCATGTAGATTAACAGCTAGAATCTTTCTATCGCTATCGCATCTTTTTTCTGAGTTGGATTCTTAGTTGAGACATAATGTGACTTCTGTGTTTATGTTGTAAAAGTGTACGCATTAAAATGTCATAGAAGCCCAATTTTTCTTGACAAATCCCCATACACAAAAGTGAACTCATCAATTTTCTTTCCATAGAAACGAGGACGATTTGACAATGAAGCAATCGGAGATCCTCCTCATAAATGACGTCATAGCTCGCCACATCGCCAGCGGCGGCAAGAGCGAGCTGGTGCAAGAAGACTGGGACTACCTGCAGCTGCACGCCGCGCTCTACATCAACAGCGAGATGTCGGGGATCCCCCTCTCGATGCAGGTGCGTCACTAGGGATCCTGCTGACGTCACAGCTCGCCACATCGCAGCGGCGGCAAGAGCGAGCTGGTGCAAGAAGACTGGGACTACCTGCAGCTGCACGCCGCGCTCTACATCAACAGCGAGATGTCGGGGATCCCCCTCTCGATGCAGGTGCGTCACTAGGGATCCTGCTGACGTCACAGCTCGCCACATCGCAGCGGCGGCAAGAGCGAGCTGGTGCAAGAAGACTGGGACTACCTGCAGCTGCACGCCGCGCTCTACATCAACAGCGAGATGTCGGGGATCCCCCTCTCGATGCAGGTGCGTCACTAGGGATCCTGCTGACGTCACAGCTCGCCACATCGCAGCGGCGGCAAGAGCGAGCTGGTGCAAGAAGACTGGGACTACCTGCAGCTGCACGCCGCGCTCTACATCAACAGCGAGATGTCGGGGATCCCCCTCTCGATGCAGGTGCGTCACTAGGGATGCCCAAAAGCTTAACATCCGCAACTGTCATTTTTAATCATGCAAATAGTTATTGTAATGTTTGGAATACGCACGCGGCGTGTGCAAACTGACAATAATGTTCATAAAAGATGCGGGATGCGTTTACTTTAACCTGACCGCGCAAATCTGGCAATTACCACCAAGGCGGAGAAGAGCGGAGACGAAAGGAGATGACTGTGTCGGGCAGTGTTCCTCGCTGCCTGCTCCCCGCAACTGCTGCACACCCGAAGGCGTCATCTATTCGTAGACAACAATAGACTGACAGCTCACAGCGCTGCGCACAGCTCACATATCTTCTCCTCTCGTCTCGTCTCCCTTTGTCTCGTTTTCGTTTCGCTTTGATAGAAATAACCTGCAAGCTTCGCCACACATCTCTTGTCTTGTCTTCGCTTTGGTGGAAACTGGGCTTGAGTATTTTAATTAATATTTATTCTCTATATTTTATTGATTTTTTTTTATCTCTGGCGGTAACCGAGTCTGACGGGCTTTTTAATTATTAATTATTTTATTTTATTTTATTATTTGTCAGCCGAAGAAGCCAGGCCGCGGGCTGGTGCAACGCCTGAAGGGCAAGCAGGGCCGCTTCCGCGGGAACCTGTCCGGCAAGCGCGTGGACTTCTCCAGCCGCACCGTCATCTCGCCAGACCCCAACCTGCAGATACAGGAGGTAGGATGATGTAGACTGTTGACGACATGTCGGGGATGTATACTTTATGTATGGTGGCTCGCTACTGTTCGTTTTTCAAAAGTTTTGACAGACATTACACTATCGTTATGTGCATGTACACGTACACACACAAGTAAAGCTGACTCGCCTTCGTGAGTTGCAGGAACTATACGTGATGATGATTCATTCAACCGATTTTGGCCATGGCGATCAGTTTGACTCCTACTAACACAACAAATAAAGCTATAATCAAAATGTCGAAAGGAACTAAGCAAACAAGTTCTACTTTAACACAAGGCAAGACCCAGGGGACCGCAGAAGAGGACAATGCAGATTTTGATGTCAGAAAATTGTATAAAAATGCGTTGACCGCTCTAAAAATAAACTGATATGCCCTACTTCTCCCTGCGCATGGTGGGAGTAAATGCTTGCAAACATATTTAGACTAGTGTGACTGTGGGATTGGGTCAATATAGAACGGACCCCTGGACCTGAAGGTACACTCAGGTCCAGTTTAATCAGCTCAATGTATACATTACGTCATGTCCCACAGGTCGGCGTGCCAGTGCACGTGGCGAAAGTCCTCACATACCCCGAGCGAGCATTCGCGGCGAACCTGGCGTGGCTGCGCGCGCTCGTGCGGCTGGGGCCGGACGCGCACCCGGGCGCCAATTACGTGCAACAGCGCGGACTTCGACACAAGAAGTTCCTCAAGTACGGCAACCGGGAGAAGATCGCGCAGGAGCTCAAGGTCTGTAGTAAAGTCCGGTCGCCAAGCAGATAGAATTTCGTTCAATGACCCCAAGCTAGCTGGGTTAACATGAGGGATGCTCGCGCTTTGTATAAAAGTTGAAATGCTGCTGCTACTAAAGTTCGGCCACCAAGCAGATATAATTTCGTTCAATGACCCCAAGCTACCCATCTTTATCGCGTGTAATTATATTGTTGTCGCGCACGCACACTCACTGCGGCCGTTCGTTGCACACTCGCGACAGCAATATAATTACGTGCGAGTGATAAGGATGCAGATGGGTAGCTTGACCCCTCATTGGACGAATATCTATCTGCTCGGTGGCCGGACTTTAGTAGCAGCAGCATTTCAACTTTTGTACAAGGCGCGAGCATCCCTCAGGTTAACCCACAAAAACATGTTATCAGCATCATTTCAGACAATGCTGCGGGGTTTACCCCGAAAAATATTATGTTGCCATCCCTCTCACGCAAAGTGAGATGCCACCATGAGCGACGGAGATAGACTCAAAACTACGTAAACGTTTCGGAGTAGCCCTGCTGGTCTACTATTAAATGGCAAAGCATAATCACCCGTTTCGCAAAACTTCTTCATGTTAGCCAATAGCAGCCAGGGCTGGATGCAACCCCATACAAAGAACGCCACAAAGCACGATATTATCAGCATCATTTCAGCTAATGCTGGTCTACCGCTGGATGACAAAGCACGATCACCCGCTTGGCAAAAATTCATTTCAACTTATGGCAAGTCACTTGACGTAAAGCTCTAAGGAGCATCACAAATCAAGATATCCCGCTTTTTCATCCAGCCTCTACAAGAGTCTTCAAGTCAAGTCTTCTCGAGCCAATATTCAATATTGAGTCAATACTCACCACACATTTTCATTTACATTTTGTTTCTTCAGTGCGGCGACATCGTCGAGCGACATCTGGTGGACGGAGACGTGGTGCTGTTCAACAGACAGCCCTCGCTGCATAAACTCTCCATCATGTGCCACCGGGCCAGGGTGCAGCCACAGAGGACCTTCAGGTAACTGACACTTTATGTCGTGGTAATAAATGCTGTTTTCCTTAGTCAAAAGACGTAAGCTTTCCGTTAAGTTGTATAGACGTTAAGTTGATATGAATACAAAATACAAAAGGCCAAATACACAACGAAAGGCATTTTCATGCCAAAAAGAGCGCCCGCTCAAACCTCAGTATAAATCGAGACACTACACTAGCTATAGCACTACCAAATGGCAGATGTGGGTGTGGCCTATACCAACGGCGACTTTACAATGTTTTAGCTCCTCCCCCAAATCAATATTGTCATACACTTCTCTCGGAATTTCTATAAAGTTAATACACAGCAGAATACTAAATGTTGTTGTATGTGTTTGTAGGTTCAATGAGTGCGTGTGCACACCATACAACGCTGATTTCGACGGAGACGAAATGAATATGCATCTACCACAGACTGAAGAGGCGAGAGCTGAGGCTCTTATTCTCATGGGGGTAAGTCACAATGTTTATGGTATTTATACTTTCATTTTAGGTACGGACTAGTGATTAGAGTTTAGCAATCTCTCGATCTGGATATCCGAAATCCAATTCCAAAAGGGACATGCAAATATCAAAATCACTTTTTTTGGTTGGTCACAGCTTGTTTAAGATAATAATGTATCAACTTGAGTTGACAATAGCCCAACAGTGTCACTACCAGACTGCCTATTCTAGTGTCGGTAGATTTTTTTCTTACCCATTATCCGCTGGACTTTAGTGGTGAAACCAGTTCTAAAACGAGAGGATAACTGGAAGAAAATTGACCATAAGACATGACCATTTCCAGAACAAATCCAACCTCGTCACGCCGCGAAACGGAGAACTCCTCATCGCAGCGACCCAGGACTTCATCACCGGCGGCTACCTCATCACACAGCGAGACACTTTCTTCACCAAGCAGGAAGCGCACCAATTAGCTGCCTGTCTGCTGGCGGGCCCTGACGCCACCATGCGCATCGACATGCCTCCGCCCGCCATCATCAAGCCAAGGATGCTGTGGACCGGGAAGCAGATCTTCAGGTAAAGCCTGGTCCGTGAGCACGTAGAATTTTGTCCAATGACCCCAAGCTACCCATCCTTATCGCTCGCGCGTAATTATATTGCTGTCGCGACTGTGCGACTGGCACCCTAAGTGAGTAGCAACATAATTACGCGCGAGCGATAAGGATGGGTAGCTTGGAGTCATTGGACAAAATTCTAGGTGCTCACGGACCAGACTATAGCTAGCAATCCCATTAGGATCTCTGTTTTAAAGGATAGGATAAGGAGGAACGAAGCCCAGGACTTCATCACCGACAGCTACCTGCACAATAGGAAATATTTGACGACGTGAATAATGCTCTTTCCAAAGTATTAGACTGGTTTACAACTAATAATTTGCTATTAAACGCAAAAAAAACCAAATGTTTAAAATTCACTATGCCTAATGTCAAACAAGTTAATACTAATATTACAGTAAATAATGAACGCATTGAACTGATAAACTCTACTGTCTTTCTAGGTATTACCCTAGACTGTAAATTACAATGGGGCCCCCATATTGCTGCCTTGGCGGGAAGACTTAGTTCAGCTGCCTTTGCGGTGAGAAAGATCAGAAACTTGACTGATGTTGAAACAGCAAGGCTTGTATATTTTAGTTATTTTCATAGTATTATGTCTTATGGTCTTTTACTGTGGGGCTCAGCAGCAGACATAGAATCAATTTTCATTTTACAGAAAAGAGCTGTTCGGGCAATATACGGTCTTAAACCACGTGACTCGCTTAGAGAAGTTTTTAAAGAAATCAATATATTGACTGTGGCTTCGCAATACATATTTGATAACATTATGTATGTCCGTAAACATATACATTTATTTACTAAGAAAAGTGACGTCCACTCATTTAACACGAGACATAAGAATAAACTTGCTGTTCCATCATTTAGGTTGCATAAGATAGGTAATTCATTCTTGGGGAAATGTATTACCATATTTAACAAAATACCACACAACCTTGTCGAATTGCCAATAAACAAATTTAAGATACATATAAAAAATACCCTTATGTCCAAAGGGTACTACAAGGTTCGAGACTATATTGATGACAAGGATGCGTGGTCAGTTCAGTCTGCACATATTTGATGTACTTAAATTTGACTATTCTTACCTTTAGATAATTCCTGGCAATAAGTGGTGACTGAGTTTGTTCCGGCGTTTCTTCTCAGCACTTGCCATATGTTTGTCTCGAAGCGCTGGTAGGGCCCAAAAGATAAGGAGACATGTAAAGTGCCCCATAAGGGCTACCTTTTTCTTTTTTTATTATTTTCTATTGACGTTCATAAGTGCCACTTGTGGTCTAAACTGAATAAATATTTTTTGATTTTGATTTTGATTTTGATTTTGACCACATCACGCAGCGACACGATATGCTGCCGTCTGCTATGATCAAGCCACGTATTCAGATCTTTAGGTATTCTTCATCATCCTTTGAAAGAACCCCTGATCGCAGCCAAGCTCCTAATCCCCAGGACTTAATTAGGATTCGATCGTTAGCGCACGAAGCAGGAAGCTTCGTATGCTGTGGACAGGCAAGCAGATCTTCAGGTACTTTCCGTTATAGCAGCCACCCAGGATTTCATCATCTCATCTCCGCAGTGGGAAACTTTCCTCATCATCAAGCCGTCATCAAGAAGCCGCGTATGCAGATCTTTAGGTACTCTTCACTATTCTTTGAAACAGTCCTGGTTGCAGATGAGCTCCTAATCGCAGCGACCCAATGGCCTAATTCACGTATTTTGAGTTTTTGACTCACTCAAAATCTCGTTGACGTTTAGAAGTCGTCCTATTGAAAAACAGTTCCAAATCCGTATTCACGTGTCATTTAGATAGAACGATCTCCTAAGAGCAGCGACCCAGGTCTTCATTAGGATTCGATTGGTAGCGAACGAAGCAGGAAGCTCTGTATGGTGTGGACTGACAAGTGGAGCTTGGTGATTCATCGAGAGCTCACTTGTAGCTAACCAGGGAGTTCCAAATAGCAACCACCTGAGACTTCATCACCGACAACTAATCATCACGAAACGACGCTATATGCTATTGCTTGCCATCATCAAGCCTCGTATGCTGTGGACCGGCAAGTACGGGACTATTTCCACCTCTCGTTTCCACCGCTCCAACTCCTGTGTAGCCAGGATCTACAGCTTGATCGCCAATAAAAACCCAACTAGTTAAGGTCTTGTTTTTCCTCGGGGAGAGTTAAACTGTGATTGGATCGCGACGTAATTAATCCGAAGAACATAAGGAGTTCGAAAATATTTCAGGAGTTATTTTTGTTACAGCTTGATAATGAAGCCAAACAAGCGGTGCGAGATCAAGGCCAACCTCGAAACTAAGGGGAAGAACTACACCGGCAACCAAGACATGTGCGTGCAGGATTCATGTAAGTAATAACACTTTATTTAAAATAGCTTTTACAACTACAAAGGCTTTAAGACATTCACGTTGTATATTTCATGCACATGCCAGAAGCATGTCGAGACAGTCAATTGAGTGGACAAACAACTGACGGCAGAGGATCCTATTTCGCGTTTTACGTCTCATAAAAAGGACATGAATTGATCACTTCAAACGACGAGTCCCTGTCAACTTTGATTTTGATTATTTGATTGAAACATTGCGACGGTACATCATCTGCTACTGTGCGTGAATTTGGAGACGAATCGATGATTTATGACATGTTTTTACTACAGATGTGATAATCCGCAACTCGGAACTGCTCTGCGGGTCGATGGACAAAAGCACGCTGGGCTCTGGTACCAAGAGCAGCATATTCTACATCTTGCTGCGCGACTGGGGCGAGGAGCACGCCGTCCGAGCCATGTGGAGGTATGTTATAGCTCTTAGGTGTATGCTACTTTGTTATATTGAGGACTAGCTTTCCGCCCGCGGCTTTGCCCGTGTGAAAATTTGTTTTCATAAACCGGGATATAAACTATCCTATGTCCTTTCCCGGGACTCAAACAATCTCTATGCTAAATTTCATCAAAATCGGTTCAGTGGTTTAGGCGTGAAAGCGACACAGAGGAAAGTAAGTTTCACATTTATAATATTAGTAGGAATATCTCTCTCTTACGTTTAACGTTTCGTAATAAGTATGAAAGCGCCGCTAAGCAATGCATTAGCTGCGCTTCAGCAGTCTATGAAACGTCACTCAAAATTCAAGTGTATGGAGTTTTTTAGGGGTCGTGTCGATTCATGAGGATGGACCTTAGTCTGTATTAGGTCTGTTCAGGGACTATTCCTACCTCTCGTTCCCACTTACTGTTCCTGTGCAGCCAGGATCTTGACCGCCAATGAAACCGAACTAGTGGACGTCACATACTATGTTTATTACTGTCCGGATGATGTATGTACAAAGATACAGCGAGTGAACTAAGTAATTTGTCTGCCTACAGGCTGGCTCGCATGGCGTCGTACTACATGATGAACCGCGGCTTCAGCTTTGGCATCATCGACGTCACGCCCGGCAAGAAGCTCATCGAGGCCAAGAACAAGCTGCTCGAAACGGGGTAAGTAGCACATCGTTCGTTCGTTCGTTTCAGCCGAAAGACGTCAATTCTTGTAGGAGGCGTTTGTCCAGTTGTGCACGTCCTTTAGTTGAAATGAACATAGGACTGAGTCTATGTCAACCATATACTAAAAATGGCTCAATCAAAACGACAGCTTTTAGTCAATTTATTTAGCGATGTCGATATCGACATTTATGCAATTCATTTTACTGTAATATTTTTGTCCAGGTACTCGAAATGCGACGGCTACATCTTGGAAATGGAGAAGGGAACACTCCAGTGCCAACCCGGATGCACGATGGAGGAGACCTTGGAAGCCGTCATGCTCAGCGAGCTTAGTAGTATCAGGTCAGATAACGTCATAAAACTATCAAAGAGTATAATGCCGGAGGCAAATGCAAAATTTAGTTGCTTACTACTTGTGGTCAAATACCTACCTTGTATGCATTAAAAAATGTTATGGCGCAAGTCCACTATGCGGGAAGTTGACGAGACAAAGCGCGAGCCCGCACCCCGAAGAATGGGTGACGCACGGCGAAACTACCGAAGTGCGTCTCGTCTCGATCAATATCCCGCGTAGTGTACTTGCTGCGCCATTATATTGCTAGCTGTGTGGTTCCTGCAGAGTAGAATAGGACACCCCATTCTGTGTTAGAGGAGACTAAGGGACAAATAGGCGAAAATCATGCCTTCTCAACTCCTCAGGCCAGCAGTGTACCTAGGTCAAATCCTTCATTTGCTTCTGGTAAATTAGAGGTTCTTCCTCTTGAGTCAGTGACCTGATAACGATGATATAATATATAATATAATATATAATATCCTTGGACATTTTACACTGCGCCGCTAGTCCCAAACTAAGCAAAGCTTGTACTATGGGTACTAAACAACGGATATAAACATACTTAAATACTTTTTTTTTGTAAATACATACATATTATACATAGAAAACACCCAGACCCGTCACAGAAATTAAAATTCATCATTTCAATTTCTGCCCGGCCGGGAATCGAACCCGGGACCTCTCGGCATAGTAGTCCGTTCTGAACCACTACACCAAACGGCCGGCAAATAATGTTCTATTACATGTCTATTGAAGAAAACTAATGTTCGTTTAATTGCAGAGAGTTGGCCGCCAAAGCTTGCTTCCGTGAGCTACACCCGACAAACGCACCACTGATCATGGCACAAAGCGGATCCAAAGGTAGTGTACTACAAAATTTGCATAGCTAAAGCCTGGTCCGTGAGCACGTAGAATTTTGTCCAATGACCCCAAGCTACCGATCCCTATCGCTTGCGCGTAATTATGTTGCTGTCGCGCTCGCACACTCACTGCGGGCGCCCGTCGCACAGTCGCGACAGCAACATAATTACGCGCGAGCGATAGGGATGAGTAGCTTGGGGTCATTGGACGGGATTCTACGTGCTCACGGACCAGGCTTTAGATCCATATTTACAGCTTACAAAACTTGAACATTTGCCGTGTGAAATAGAAAAGGCAATGACAATCACGTACTTCGTGATCATGAAAAATGGACTTACAGCAAGAGTTATAGAGTATATTTTTGTGTGCAGGATCAAACATCAACATCTCGCAGATGATAGCGTGCGTGGGGCAACAGGCGCTGAATGGCAAGCGAGTGCCCAACGGCTTCGAGGACCGCTCTTTGCCACATTTTGAGAGGCATTGTAAGTATATTCTATACAGTCAATCCTAAATATAAACCCTTTACATGTGAGATAGCCAAAATTGGTAGCTTTAAACGTCATCATGGACCCTTTAAAGACATATATTTTTATGGTGCCATAATATTTAGAAGCTTAACCTTGTTTTAAGATCCTAATGCATCATAAGTGTTACAATAGGGTAACTTAAAAATAAGGGGTTGATGGTAAAAAAGGGCATAAAACATTTTAAAAAAATGCTCTGCCTGTAGCAGAATAGCTTGTCAGAACAGAATCTGAGTGACAGTTTGCTGAACCAAAAAGTTGCACTTAGAGGAGGGGCTATAGGTCCAGTGTTTAAATGAGTGTACTTGAGGTATGTGAGCGGACCGGAGGGTCTTTTTGTGAAATCTTCTTTGGATTTATGTCAATGTCACCCCTCCCGTGCTCGTCACTGACTCAGTCAAGCGCTAGATCTAATAGTAGTAAACTGCCATTGACTAAAATATTGATGATCTTTTTTCTACACAGCCAAGATCCCCGCCGCCCGAGGGTTCGTGGAGAACAGCTTCTACTCGGGACTGACGCCGACGGAGTTCTTCTTCCACACCATGGGCGGGCGCGAGGGACTCGTGGACACCGCCGTCAAGACTGCCGAGACAGGGTACTTGCAACGGAGACTTGTCAAGGTGGGTTACATTCCAAATTCTATGTTTAATCCTGTAGCCTTATTCACGTAACAAAACTTCAACGACAACAAATCGCTGAATGATCCTATCGAGTAATCGTTCTATCGAAAATGACTCTTGTGAATACGGATTTAGAACTGTTTTTCAATGGGACGACGTAGCAAAACTTTAATGACAACAAATCGCTGAGTTGCGATCCTATCGAGGAATCGTTCTATCGAAAATGACCCTTGTGAATACGGATTTAAAACTGTTTTTCAATGGGACGACTTCTAAACGTCACCGAGCTCTTGAATGTCAAAATACGTGACGTTAACTAATGATGATTATGATATTTCAATGAACGCTCTGTAGGTTAAATTTTCCCCAGAATATCGTAATAGGAAACTTAACCTAAGGGTAATTTATGAGAATATCAGGCCTTCCCAACCCGCCTGGGTTAGCGTGAGGAGTGTAGTCAAATCCTCCTTGTCTCTGATAAATTCGGGAACGATTTTATATGTTAGGAGGACGAAGTGGAAGCGCTAGATGTGATTCGTTGCATTGAGATTCATACAATTTCTGCCTTTAGTTTCTGGGCGCGCAACTCGGACGCCTGCTACGATTAGGCCCGGATCCACCAAGACCGAACGGAGCGAAGAAAAGAAGTATTTTAAACAACCAATCAGATTTCATTATTCAGGAAACCAGGCAATCTGAGGGCCTAGTGTGAGTTTTTTTCAAACGTGCTCACTAGTGAGCGAAAAAAAATGACATTAAATGTATGACGGATTGTACAGCGCCCCTAGCGGGAAACTTTCAAAAACTGAAAGGACATCATCCATTTTGGTCCAAAATCAAAAGTGCCGGCCAAAAAATAAAAGTGCTGTATTCTGATAGAATACGTCCGCCTTAGCATTTTTTACTATGGCACCAAAGCTGGAGCACCACTGTGCATCGTAGTATTTGAGTTCTAAAAATATATGAAACGACTGACTTTGATCTCAAATACTACGACGCACAGTGGTGATACAGCTTCGGTGCCATAGTAACAAATGCTAAGGCGGACGTATTCTGTCAGAAGACAGCACTTTTTTTTATTGGCCGACACTTTTGATTTTGAACAAAAAATGTATGAATAGTCGATGACTTTTAGATCTCAAATACTCGACGCACAGTGGAGCTACGGCTTTGGTGCCATAGTAACAAATGCTAAGGCAGACGTATTCTGTCAGAATACAGCACTTTTTTTTGTTGGCCGGCACTTTTGATTTTGTACCAAAAATATATGAAACGTGGATGATGTCCTTTTCATACATTTTTTGAACACACTCAGCCCACTGATTGGATATTCAAAAGACTTTTCCACTCCGCTCCGCCTTGGTGGAAACCGGGCCTTAGTCTCGTCTCATGGTTTATTATATTAGTTTGAGCTTCTGTTCTCTTGCAGTCGCTGGAGGACCTGGTGCTGCATTACGACATGACGGTGCGAAACGCGACGGGCGAGGTCGTGCAGTTCCAATACGGCAGCGACGGGCTTGACCCGTCCTGCATGGAGGGCAAGGGCCGGCCCGTCGACCTGCCGCGCGTGCTCGCCGACGTGCGAGCGAGGTGCCACGCCAGGTACACGCCGCGTGACGTCACCACCAGGTGGAGCGGTCCAGTACGGCAGCCACGGGCTCGACCCGTCCTGCATGGAGGGCAAGGGCCGGCCCGTCGACCTGCCGCGCGTGCTCGCCGACGTGCGAGCGAGGTGCCACGCCAGGTACACGCCGCGTGACGTCACCACCAGGTGGAGCGGTCCAGTACGGCAGCCACGGGCTCGACCCGTCCTGCATGGAGGGCAAGGGCCGGCCCGTCGACCTGCCGCGCGTGCTCGCCGACGTGCGAGCGAGGTGCCACGCCAGGTACACGCCGCGTGACGTCACGACGAGGGGGGGGCCGCTCCAGCAGGCTTCGATGCCTGGACTCCAGGGCAAGGGTCCCGGGGAGACCTTCGGCCGAAAATGTCACAATGACAACGAGCGTATGGGACACGTCACATGGCCTTGAGCCATGGGGCATGTCAAGTGGCTACAAACAAGCGTATGGGGCATGTCACGTGGCGACTAGCCACTGGGGCATGTCGCGTGGCGAAGAGCGTATGAGGCGTGTCATGTGACGACGACGTAAGGGACACGTCACGTGGCGAATAGTGTATGGGGCACGTCACCACGCGTTGTGAATAAACTAACAATTTCTGCCGTGCCAGTAAACTAATTTAACACTTTGACAGAATTAAAAACCTTTTTATGTTGATTTTCAAAATATTGTTTTTGCTACAGGGAAGAAGAACCTTTGGACGGAGACGGCATCGTTCTAGCAGCCGAAGAAACCTTAGCTCTGGACGACTTCAAGACTTGCCCAGTCGAGTTCAAGAACGAAATATTGTAAGTGCTTTTAAAGTCCTTTTTAGTATCAAGAATATTAAAGATACAGCAGTGCAAAATATGTACTAAACATAAAAAAGAGAGGACGAAAGAAAGACCAACTATTGTAACTTAGCCAAAACGAGTGAAAAGTAGTTATTTTAAACAATTTTGACTTACCATTTTCATTTTATTAGAGTTCTTTGTATAAGCCGGGACAGACTGCCTGAAAGCGGGAATGTCCCGTCCAAAGCGGGACGTATGGTCACGTTAATTATTTCCCATTTTAAAACTGGTAGTGTTTTAGTGTTAATTAGCTCGTCTTGAACGGTGAATCTTAACCATCCTCATTTTCCAGGGCATTCCTAAAAAAGATCGCGGACAAAGTGCGCAATCTTCGGGCGAAGTACGCGCACTGCGGGCCCATCATCCGTCAGCTGGAGCGGCTCACGCTGACGCAGCTGGTGCGCTTCGTGCGCGTCTGCCACGACAAGTACCAGCGCAGCGTCATCGAGCCCGGCACCGCGGTAGGCGCGCTGGCGGCGCAGGTGAGAATAGAAATGATCAGGGTATGCAAGGCTGCATAGGTCTTAACCCGCCCTGTAAGACAGCACCGTTCTGTATCGCAAGACAGCACAGTTATGTACAGTCAACAGCACATCAGGCTATACATTTTTGTTTCAAAATCGCATCTGTTACGACTAAATAAGACGCCATAGTGTTTACGTTGATGTGCCGTCGTCTGTACCTGCAAAGTAACACAGGTATGTGCCTGCAAGACAGCACCGGTTATCTATACTAATATTATAAATGCGAAAGTAACTCTGTCTGTCTGTCTCGCTTTCACGCCTAAACCACTGAGCCGATTTTGATGTTTGGCATAGACATAATTTTAGTCCCGGGAAAGGACATAGGATAGTTTTTATCCCGGTTTTTGAAACAGGGACGTGCGCGATCAAGTTTTTCTGTGACAGACAAAATTCCACGCGGGCGAAGCCACGGGCGGAAAGCTAGTGGTCTATAAAGCAGCACAACAATATCTCTGCAACTTAGGTCAACAGCGGTAGTAAGTGTTAACATCAAAGTGCGTAACCTTCGCGCTAAGTACGCGCACTGCGGGCCCATCATCCGTCAGCTGGAGCGCCTCACGCTGACGCAGCTGGTGCGCTTCGTGCGCGTCTGCCACGACAAGTACCAGCGCAGCGTCATCGAGCCCGGCACCGCGGTGGGCGCGCTGGCGGCGCAGGTGAGAAACTGTGCAAAACATGACTGATCATAGGCCAGGCAATACTGATCAGTGCATGCAAGGCAGTACTGATAAGGGTATGCAAGGCAGCACTGATCAGAGTATGCAAGGCAGTACTGATAAGGGTATGCAAGGCAGCACTGATCAGGGTATGCAAGGCAGCACTGATCAGAGTATGCAAGGCAGTACTGATAAGGGTATGCAAGGCAGCACTGATCAGGGTATGCAAGGCAGCACTGATCAGAGTATGCAAGGCAGTACTGATAAGGGTATGCAAGGCAGCACTGATCAGGGTATGCAAGGCAGCACTGATCAGAGTATGCAAGGCAGCACAGAGCTGTGACTGCAAAACAGCAAGAGCTGTAACGACAAAGCAGTACAAGTGTTTGTCTGCAAGACAGCACAGGTCTATACCGGCAAGCTGCACATATCTGTTCCCATAAGGCAATACAGGTCTTTACCCGCAAGGCACATTGTGGGTCACAACGGGTCAGCTCATTGTCTACGAAGCAGCACAACAATGTCTACGCAAGCTTGGGGTAAGGTGTCAATACCTTACCCCCTCAAGTATTACAGATGAAGGAAGCACAGCTGTCAGTGTCCGCTCTAGTTCCTATAGGCACCACTAGTCTCTTTCTACACTGGCTCGCTTAGGCAATATGTATAGATCTGAACTAGATTCTTGGAAAAAATTATAATGATGTTCTTATCCTCAACAGAGTATCGGCGAGCCAGGCACCCAAATGACCCTCAAAACCTTCCACTTTGCCGGCGTAGCGTCAATGAACATCACGCAAGGAGTGCCGCGTGTCAAGGAGATCATCAACGCGTCCAAGAACATCTCGACGCCAATCATCACGGCCGAGCTGATGAAGCCGCACGACCAGGAGTTCGCTAGGAAGGTCAAGGGAAGAGTGGAGAAGACTACGCTAGGAGAGGTTTGTTTTGTTCCTTCTACTTGTCTTCCATGATCACTCAAGGAGTGCTGCGTGTCAAGATCAATAACGCTTCCAAGAACATCTCTACGCCAATCATCAAGGCTGAGCTGATGAAGCCGCACGACCAGGAGTTCGCTAGGAAGGTCAAGGGCAGAGTGGAGAAGACTACGCTGGGAGAGGTTTGTTTTGTTTCTTCCACTTGGCGTTCATGATCATGTAGAGGGTTCCATGAGTGAAGGAGATCATCAATGCTTCACCAATCATTAGCGCGGCCGTGCTGATGAAACCGCATGACCAGGAGTTCGCTAGGAAGGTCAAGGGGCGGGTGGAGAAGACTACGCTGGGAGAGGTTTGTTTTGTTTCTTCGACTTGACGTTCATGATCATGTAGAGGTTTCCACGGGTGAAGGAGATCATCAATGCTTCACCAATCATCAGCGCGGCCGTGCTGATGAAACCGCACGACCAGGAGTTCGCTAGGAAAGTCAAGGGCAGAGTGAAGAAGACTACGCTGGGAGAGGTTTGTTTTGTTTCTTCGACTTGGTCTTAATGATCATGCAGGGGTTTCCACGGGTGAAGGAGATCATCAATGCTTCACCAATCATTAGCGCGGCCGTGCTGATGAAGCCGCATGACCAGGAGTTCGCTAGGAAGGTCAAAGGGCGCGTGGAGAAGACTACGCTGGGAGAGGTTTGTTTTGTTCCTTCTACTTGTCTTCCATGATCACTCAAGGAGTGCCGCGTGTCAAGGAAATCATCAACGCGTCCAAGAACATCTCGACGCCAATCATCACGGCCGAGCTGATGAAGCCGCACGACCAGGAGTTCGCTAGGAAGGTCAAGGGGCGGGTGGAGAAGACTACGCTAGGAGAGGTTTGTTTTATTCCTTCTACTTGTCTTCCATGATCACTCAAGGAGTGCCGCGTGTCAAGTTCATTAACGCTTTCAAGAACATCTCGACGCCAATCATCACGGCCGAGCTGATGAAGGAGTTCGCTAGGAAGGTCAAAGGAAGAGTGGAGAAGACTGCGCTAGGAGAGGTTTGTTTTGTTCCTTCGACTTGGTCTTAATGATTATGCAGGGGTTTCCACGGGTGAAGGAAATCATCAACGCGTCCAAGAACATCTCGACACCAATCATCACGGCCGAGCTGATAAAGCCGCACGACCAGGAGTTCGCTAGGAAGGTCAAAGGAAGAGTGGAGAAGACTACGCTGGGAGAGGTTTGTTTTGTTTCTTCCACTTGGCGTTCATGATCATGCAAGGGTTACCCTGGTCCAAGAACATCTCGACACCAATCATCACGGCCGAGCTGATAAAGCCGCACGACCAGGAGTTCGCTAGGAAGGTCAAAGGAAGAGTGGAGAAGACTACGCTGGGAGAGGTTTGTTTTGTTTCTTCCACTTGGCGTTCATGATCATGCAAGGGTTACCCTGGTCCAAGAACATCTCGACACCAATCATCACGGCCGAGCTGATGAAGCCACATGACCAGGAGTTCGCTAGGAAGGTCAAGGGGCGGGTGGAGAAGACTACGCTAGGAGAGGTATTGTTTTGATTGCAACATTTTAAGTGGAAAAGTCCATTTATTGAAATCACAGTCTTCATAGTTTTTATTATTTTTTTATTCTTCTTCTGCTGTGCCTTTTCCCATTTCATTTGTGATCGAACCTCTTCGATCTAAGGCGCCAAGATAGTCTGGCTTTGGTCGTCTTGTCGTTGATCTAAGGTGTTCCTAATCTTTTGAAATGGTTCCTCCAACTGGCTTGAGGCGTCCTCTGCCTTTTGTGGATAGTTAGGGTTTTCTAAAACTTATTGCTCTCTTCAGCTCGTGTCATTGCATGCCTTTACTAACGCATACGACTTTCATCCATCTTGTCTGTAATGAATGCTCTTTGTTTATTAGTATTAATTAATGTGTATTTTTTTTAGATCACAACTTACATCGACGAGGTGTACTTGCCAAACGAGTGCTTCCTTCTTATTCGGCTGGACGCAGAGCGCATCAAGTTGCTGTGTCTAGAAGTCAACGTCGATTCTATTATTTATTCGTGAGTATTTCATTTATTAGTTCCTTTTGAATCTTTTCAAACAAGGAACCTACTTCTAGACTATAGATGACCCACGCTGAACTGTCCCACCAAACTCAATGACAGGGGGGCGCTACCATCGTACTATATGGTTTCCAACATGGCAAAAATCGGAACCAGCGATCCGGTATTGACTGTGGCGCCCCACTGTCAATGTCATGCATAGGACAGTTCAGTATTTTGGAACTACAGTCGTTGGTACTTGTCGTCACGTACTAACAGTGTTTTTTTATATGAACATCAATCTGGTCCCAAAAACTTGATAAGTTTTCAATCAAAAAATTTTCCTACAAAATTGATGGGAGATATCAATGACATATCATATAAATAGACACGTTATGCGCCTACATTATTGTATTTTAAAATGGCGCACGTAGTCCTATTTTATGACAGCTATTCATTTTGACATTTTGCACAGAAAAGGAGAATGGGGTAGAGTGAACCTCACAGATATAGAGAACCTAAATTGTATTTTCGAATGAACTATCAAACTAATATTTAAACAAAAGCAAGACAAAACGTAACTTATTATTTTCCCTTAAATCAACTTGAGTCTTATGCCTTTTTTGTCTTTTATAATGAGTTTTCAAATCCGGATTATTTTTATGTGCAAAATGTATGAGGTTTTACCCTGAGATTAAAAGTGGAATATTCTCTAGCTAGCTACAGACAGACAGACAGACATGACGAACCTATAAGGGTCCCGTTTTTGCAATTTGGCTACGGAACCCTAAAAAGACATTAAAATTCGATTATTTATACAAATTGCAATCTTTTTGGGATCGGGAAGTAGCATTTCTGACTGTAGGCTTTGAAATATAATCCTCGATAGGAAAACATAGTCCGCCCATATTTTTCATATTAACCACAGTTTTGATTTAGCAGACTGTAAATTTATACAGGTACATCAAATTTGTTTGGGACTAGAAGCGTATTGTAAAAATGTCCAAGGATAAATAAAAATAATAAATAATTAATATTATTCGTTTCTGCTATAATTTTGTTCCTCGAGTAAGTCTTTTTCGTTTGATCATAAATCATTATAATCATACAGTAATAATAGCCATAGCATTGATTTTATCGATTTCGGATGAATACGTGTCAACACAGGAATACATAATTATAATAATATTCTTTTCTAGAGAAAAACAATTATTCCGTGAGTTAAATGCAGAGTTCTTAATTGATAGATATTCGCCCCAACTTCCCCTGGCAGTGGTCTCTAGATTTTAGCTCAAATGTCAAATTCAACCGTCAACCCTTGTCAAATTGAATAAAAATTAAAATTTAATTTTTTACTAATTAAACTGTATTTACGAATGAAATGACACATTTTTCTGGTTCATAATAGTGGCAGTGTAATTTGTACATCAACTAAAAACACACGAAGGCATATTATCAATCAATCAGAGAGGCAATCGGGAAGTGCATTCGTGGCTGTTCGCGGCAACCGATCATGTACGACTGAATGCAAGAGGTCCAATTGTATCTCTTTTGCATTGCCATTCTTGAGCGGGTATAACGTATCTATACTATAAAAACATCTTAGGGAGATATGCGTTTAGTTAGGTCATAAAGAGTACATAATAAAATTTGCGTTTGAATCCTGTTGTTCTCAGTTTCAAAAGAGTTCATCAATTGAATAAGCATCAAATACTCTGCCAATGTTCCCTCTAACCTCTCCATTTCTTCAGGATATGCACATCAAAGCTGAAGCTAAAGCCAGCCAACATCACGGCTGTATCAGAGTGGGCGATCAAAGTGTCGGGCGAGGCGAGCCGCGCCGGCTGGCTCAACGTAGGGCTCCAACAATTGGCCCGACTATTGCCTGCAGTTCCCGTCAAGGGGCTCCCTCAAGTGTCTCGCGCCGTCATCGCCGCTGATGACACCGTCAGCCCCGTACGGTAAGTGGCTCAATAAATGGTCAAATCCCACCACCAACCATGGCCATACCAACGTATGTGGCTGAATCTTGGAAGATGCATGCGGAAATTGCGTCTGCTAGGCAGTTGGCACGTTACTCCACCGCGTGCAATTCTTGACTCTACAAGGTTTTTATTATACTTCCATTTGTCCCTTTAGCTTTCCTTCTGGGGCATGGGCACTACTTAAACGTTAGCACCATACAGTGCCTGGCAGCTTGACGACGAACCGTTCCTTCTCAATAAATGGTTAATAAGCTAGGTAAGAAAATAGCCACTGAGCCAACATCACCGCAGTATCAGAGTGGGCCATCAAAGTGTCGGGCGAGGCGAGCCGCGCCGGCTGGCTCAACGTAGGGCTCCAACAGTTAGCCCGACTATTGCCCGCTGTGCCCGTCAAGGGACTCCCGCAAGTGTCACGTGCCGTCATCGCCGCTGACGACACCGTCAGCCCCGTACGGTAAGTGGTCAAATCCCACCACCAACCATGGCCATACCAACGTATGTGGCTGAATCTTATCTTGAGAGATGCATGCGGAAATTGCGTCTGCTAGGCAGTTGGCACGTTACTCCACCGCGTGCAATTCTTGACTCTACAAGGTTTTTATTATACTTCCATTTGTCCCTTTCGCCACTCTCCCCCTTCTGGGGAATACACACTACTTAAACGTTGGTACCGTCCGGTGCCTGGCAGCTTGACGACGAACCGTTCTTCCTTTTGTGCCAAGCGTATCAATAAATGGTCAATAAGCCAGGCATGAAAATGGCCACTGAGCCAAAATCACCGTGGTATCGGATTGGACTGTGGGGATTTGATGTTCAACCACAATAAGGAAGCTAAGGTGTTAGTGCTTCTTTCCTAGCGGGTGTTGTGCTCGGGGACCAAGGACCAATTTTCACCATCTTGGTTTTCATATACATGTTGGGCATGGCAGAAAACTCCGACACCGCGATGTAGGATTGTACGCGCGGTGGTGTATGCCATAGTGAAGTTGTAACAGCGCCATCTGTTGGTCTAGTCTTGTAGTGGCGTATCGTAGAGGTTCGCTACAGGGCCATCAAAGTGTCGGGCGAGGCGAGCCGCGCCGGCTGGCTCAACGTAGGGCTCCAACAATTGGCCCGACTATTGCCCGCTGTGCCCGTCAAGGGGCTCCCGCAAGTGTCTCGTGCCGTCATCGCTGCTGACGACACCGTCAGCCCCGTACGGTAAGTGGCTCAATAAATGGTCAAATCCCACCACCAACCATGGCCATACCAACGTATGTGGCTGAATCTTGAGAGATGCATGCGAAAATTGCGTCTGATAGGCAGTTGGCACGTTACTCCACCGCGTTCAATTCTTGACTCTCTACAAGGTTTTTATTATACTTCCATTTGTCCCTTTAGCTTTCCTTCTGGGGCATGGGGCACTACTTAAACGTTAGCACCGTCCGGTGCTTGGCAGCTTGACGACGAACCGTTCTTCCTTTTGTGCCAAGCGTATCAATAAATGGTCAATAAGCCAGGCATGAAAATGGCCACTGAGCCAACATCACCGCGGCATCGGAGTGGGCTGTGGGTATTTGATGCTCAACCGCAATAAGGAAGCTAAGGTGTTAGTGCTTCTTTCCGAGCGGGTGTTGTGCTCGGGGACCAAGGTTCAATTTACACCATCTTGGTTTTCCTATACATGCTGGGCATGGCAGAAAACTCCGTCACCGCGATGCTGGATTGTACGCGCGGTGGTGTATGCCATAGTGAAGTTGTAACAGCGCCATCTGTTGGTCTAGTCTTGTAGTGGCGTATCGTAGAGGTTCGCCACAGGGCCATCAAAGTGTCGGGCGAGGCGAGCCGCGCCGGCTGGCTCAACGTAGGGCTGCAGCAGTTAGCCCGACTATTGCCCGCCGTGCCCGTCAAAGGGCTCCCTCAAGTGTCACGTGCCGTCATCGCCGCTGACGACACCGTCAGCCCCGTGCGGTGAGTGCCAAACTTGCCCCAGTGTCCGAGAATCTCACTCAGCAGTGGCCAAACTTGCCCTGTAGTGGCTAAACTTGCCCAGTAGTGGCTAAACTTGCCCAGTAGTGGCCATAGAGTCGCTCACTCAACTCACTCGCCCCTATAAAAGTTGAACTTCATTAGTTAAAATATTATTGTTTCGTTGTACTCAGCTATGTAACTTATGTTAATGTACCCCACGTCCGTCTTGTGTTACCACTTTGAAATATTCTATTCAAGGAAACGAATGGAAATTTTGAATAGCTCAAGATTCGTTCACGAGCAGTTTTCAATTTTTAATCATTGTACTTTGTTCCTTAGGTATAAGTTGTGCGTGGAGGGCGACGGTTTACGAGATGTGATCGCGACGTACGGCGTCGACGGTACCAAGACCACTTCCAATAATATCCTTGAGGTTAGTATTCATATTAAATACACCGAGGCAGACAGGAGAGACAAAAACAATTCATTGTTAGTGCTGGAATTCTTACCATTTTTTTTATGTAGAGGACTGGTCGGTCAACGTGGGATTATCCGCCAGAAGGGCGGAACCGACCCACTAAAACCCGACGGTGTCCACCGGAGCCCAATTAAACGGAGCTGCGAGTTATTATCTTAACTTGGTGGACATTCGTTCGCAGCTCTGAGTCAGGCTATCGCTCTCGCCTCTGGCTTCGAGGGGTCCAGCAATCTACTCCTCCAGTTGTTTTTTTTTTATAGAGGTTTTCTTTTCGCGGCCCTGATGGTCTCACCATCATGATGAAAGCGGTGCCGTCTACACTGGCTCCAAAGTTATAGTGTCTAAAGCCCGGTCTGTGAGCACGTAGAATTTTGTCCAATGACCCCAAGCCCATCCTTATCGCTCGCGCTTAATTATGTTGCTGTCGCGACTGTGCGACGGGCGCCCGCAGAGTGTGCGAGCGCACAAAATTCTACGTGCTTACAGACCGGACTATAGTTTGACCAAACGTGCACACTTGAGACATTGATCCTTCCTTAGGTGTACCACACGCTGGGCATCGAGGCAGCCAAGTCGACCATCATCAGCGAGATCCAGGCCGTGATGGAGGGGCACGGCATGAGCGTGGACCGCCGCCACGTGGAGTTACTGGCCGGACAGATGACGGCGCGCGGCGAGGTGCTCGGCATCACGCGCTACGGGCTCGCTCGCATGAAGGACTCCGTGCTCAACCTGGCCAGCGTGAGTACACACGGCTCCGGCCGAGGGAGCCGCGGCTCGAGTGTAGACGGCGCCACGTGGAGTTACTGGCCGGACAGATGACGGCGCGCGGCGAGGTGCTCGGCATCACGCGCTACGGGCTCGCTCGCATGAAGGACTCCGTGCTCAACCTGGCCAGCGTGAGTACGAGCTCAGTCACTGAAGCAGAGCCCGCACGGGTACCTTTCCTTCCATTTGGTGCAGGTGTTGTCCGGGCACGGATGCTTTGGCTCATATCTGCACCGCATTGGAAGGAAAGAGACGCAGTCCTGCCACGCGTGTCGCGGCGGTGCGGAGGACACGGCGCACTATACCCTTGCGGTATGTGCGGCGGGCTCCGCAGCGCAATACGCTTATCGCGGCGGTGGGCCGGGACCTTGTGCTGCCCAGTATAGTCAAAGCTATGCTGGACAGCAACGAGGCCTGGGTGGCAATGGCCTCCTTCTGTGAAAACGTGATGTCTCAGAAGGAAGCCGCGGAGCGAGAGCGCGAAGATGATCCAAACGCGTCCTCGCTCCGGCGACGGCGGAGGGGTCAGAGGAGGCAACAGTATGATCGCCTCCAGTTTCCTCTCCTCGGTGATGGCCAGCGGGCCGCGCCTGCATTGCACAGGCCACCACCACCGTCGGACGGGAACAGCTGTGTGCTTCCAGCTGCTCCTGTCGCCCCCCGTCCTGGGGGGCTTGTAGGGCCCGCCGTGTAGGCGGGCAATCGGGAGGGGCTGTGGTAGAGAAGGCTTTGTCCGGAAACCCACAGTTCCTCCCACTTATGCCGAGTGACGGATCATCGGGGTCTTTTTAGTGGGTATGCCTCGTCCTTCTGACTTGGTGAGCCCCACATAACCTACCCTGTCTCCACAGAGTAAGTATGCGATTCAACGCATTTTTTCCCCGTAAAAAAAGGAGTCTTATCTAGACGGTATCTATTTTAACTAGGGTTTCTCGCGTTTTCTCACAAAGGCTTGCGGGTTCCCCATGTGTAAAGTTTGTAATTTCAGAGAGATTTTTGCCTCTCCCCGAAGCAGGAACCAATGGGAAGAATCTAGTGACACTAGGGGGCAGTCAAAAGGTTCTCGGTGGGCTTGCCGTAGACAGCTAGCGGCCTTCAGTGAAGGCCTGCATTGCTGCATGCAGAAAGCGAGCATTTGGTGACCCTGCTCACATTAAACAGTCCCTTTTTCCCCTTTGACAAATGTATTTTTTTCCATTTCAGTGCATGTTTCCAATCTACAAAATTACCCTGTTTACCCCCTTAGAAATACCATGCCGTCCATATCCGTAATCAAAAACTTATCTCTTCCAGTTCGAAAAAACCGCCGACCACCTATTCGACGCAGCGTACTACGGGCAACGCGACCACATCGAGGGAGTATCAGAATCCATAATCGTGGGCGTGCCGGCCGGCGTGGGCACGGGCGTGCTGCAGCTGCTGCACGCGCACGCGCCGCCGCCCGCGCGCCCTCCAATGCCGCTGCTGTTCGACAGACCAGAGTACCACCCGTCCATATGGGAATGATACCGTCTATAGGGGCGTAAGGCACGTTACTGATTGATCGCCCCCTTATCTCGAGTGAGCCACGCTCCCTACTGTTCCACGCAGCAAGTAGCTACATTGCTGATTGATCGCGTCCCTTTCTGGAGTGAGCCACACCCTCTACTGTTCCACACAGCACGCGCCACCGCCCCTCTATTTGCGAGTGAGTACGTCCGCTAAAGCCTGGTCCGTGAGCACGTAGAATCCCGTCCAATGACCCCAAGCTACCCATCCCTATCGCTCGCGCGTAATTATATTGCTGTCGCGACTGTGCGACGCGCGCCCGCAGTGAGTGTGCGAGCGCAACAGCAACATAATTACGTGCGAGCGACAAGGATGGGCAGCTTGGGGTCATTGGACGGGATTCTACGTGCTCACGGACCAGGCTTTACTGTTCGACGCGGCTGACTAGGACGACGCCGCCCACGCTCACGCGCTACGCCCGCTACTGTTAGACCGTTCTATTATCTTGGGAGTGAGGATACACGCGCTGCTGTTTGAAGTAGCCTACTACGGGCAGCGTGACCATAAATTCTAGGGCGTGTCGGAGTCCACTACTGTTCCACACAACATACGCCACCGCTGCTCGATTTGCGAGTGCGTTATAATACGTCCGCTACTGTTCGACGCGGCTTACTAGGACGACACAGGCAGCGCGCGCGCGCCACGCTCGCTACTGTTAGACCACCCATCTATCTTGGAGTGAGGATACACGCGCTGCTGTTTGAAGTAGCCTACTACGGGCAGCGTGACCATAAATTCTAGGGCGTGTCGGAGTCCACTACTGTTCCACACAACACACGCCACCGCTGCTTGATTTGGGAGTGCGTTATAATACGTCCGCTACTGTTCGACGCGGCTTACTAGGACGACACAGGTCGCGCGCTCGCGCCACGCCCGCTACTGTTAGACCGCCCCTCTATCTAGAAGCGAGCCTCACTAGCTACTATTCGATAGACCGGAGTACCATCCGTCTATATGGGAATGACACTTAGCATCATCCGTCTGTAGGGAATGAGGGAGTAAGCTACGTTGCTGTGAGTCCGCCCCCTGTCTGGAGCAAGCCACGCCCACTACTATTTGACGCACCTTACACGCGCTGCCGCCCACGTGCCCGTCCATGCCGCTGCTGTTCAACAGGCCAGAGTACGTCCGCTAATGTTCGACGCGGCTTACTAGGACGACACAGGCCGCGCGCGTGCCACGCCCGCTACTGTTAGACCGCCCATCTATCTTGGAGTGAGGATACACGCGCTGCTGTTTGAAGTAGCCTACTACGGGCAGCGTGACCATATCTAGGGCGTGTCGGAATCCACTACTGTTCCACACAACACACGCCACCGCTGCTTGATTTGCGAGTGCGTTATAATACGCCCGCTACTGTTCAACGCGGCTTACTAGGACGACGCCGCACCACGCCCGCTTCTGTTAGACCGCCTCACTATCTCGGAGTGAAGTTACGCGCGCTGCTGTTTGAAGCAACTTACTAGGGTAGCGCGACCACATCGAGGGAGTATCAGAATCCATAATCGTGGGCGTGCCGGCCGGCGTGGGCACGGGCGTGCTGCAGCTGCTGCACGCGCACGCGCCGCCGCCCGCGCGCCCTCCAATGCCGCTGCTGTTCGANTTTTTCAAGGAAGTTACTTAGTTCTTCATATGTGGGAATATTTGTAGAATTTTCTAAAGACTGCTCCCAAAGTTTGTGAGATTCTATGTCTAACTTTGAGACTATGATATGTACCACTATTGCATTCCAGGAATCTATCTCTATGTTTTTTAGTGAGGTAAGACATTGGCTAGTATTATCTAATAAATCTTTAATACCTTTGGCAGACTCTGTTGTTAGTTTTTTCTGAGATAGAAATCTACTGAGAATATTATTCACAATCACTCGCTTATTTTCATATCTTTCATTTAGCTTTTTCCATGCATCATCATAGTTAGCCTCAGTTAATGAATAATTTTTGAGTAACTGTTCGGCTTCTCCTGATAAACTGGATTTTAGATAATGATGTTTTTCAATTTTTGTTAAGCGATCATTGCAATGTATTAGTGAGATAAAAAGGTCTCTATAACTCATCCATGCATTATAATCTCCTGAAAATTGCGGTATCGTTATTGATGGAAGTTTTGGTCTCATTTTTGAAATCTCAGCAGAGGTTATGTCAAGCTCACTAACTGTGGTTGTGGTTGATGTAATATCATATTTCTTGTCTTTTAGCCATGTTTTCAGGTCCAAGTAATTTTCCTCTGTGCATTCGTAGTTTTTCTCAATGTCGAAATTATAATCTTTTTTTGAGGTTTCGTTGTTTATTATTGCTGTCAATGACTCGTAACTTTTAGTGTACTCACACCAATAATCTCTCAATGCTTCCAAGCGGGTGTCGATATAACCTTTTGTTCTCTTGTCTTTAGGTGATTTTCTCGTATTGGTGGAAAGTTTCTCAATCTTTGTAGAGTTTTGGTTCATCACCATGATGTGTTTTGTTACACGTTCCGCCATTTTCACAAACTCGTATTATATAGTTATGTTCCACTTTGACACTGATTTCAACAATAATTACACATTACTTTGATTACTATCCGGTTCTCAGAAGGACCATTTGGTTATTTAGTTAAATAAACACTGTTTTTAGTTCACTGTTGTTTTATTTTCTCTTACAATTACACAGACATGTTTTTCACCACAGACAAGTTTTTTTTTTTTTTTTTTATAATATTACGGTCCGATCATATAGGGAATAATCCATCCAGATAATATTCTTCAATCTCCACAAATTTTTAACTAACAGAGTCCTTCAGGCCTTTTCACCTGATTTTTTGCATTTCCGCTTAAGTAGGCTTTCAAACTTTTATTCCATTACCCTCTTTGTTTCAGCGAGGTGTCTTTTGTAAAAATAAGGGGGCCCTCAGACTTTAAGTGCCCCACTTAAAACAATTAGGTGAATAAATAGTCAAAGAAGGAACAACTTCGTTTATCTAGAGAACACTTTGCGAGGGAGTAGCTTAGTACCTAATTTGCATTCTACTTTTATTATCCTGGAATGAGGAATGCATTTCAAAGTGGGTGCATTTTTTACTACTATTTTTAAATAATGTTGAGTAAAACTGTAGATCCTGGTTACACAGGAGTTATAGCAGTGGAATGAAAATAGAACCAAGAAAACTTTAAATGTAACCTTCTAAAAAACCCGATTCACAAGTTTATACCGATTTCTAATAACACCTTTAGAAAAAAAAACTCCTTGAGTAAGTGACAGTAGAGCGCTTATTCTGGACTATTCCCACCTCTCGTTCCCACCGCTGGAACACCTGTGTAGCCAGGATGTACTTGGCTGCCAATAAAAACCCAACTAGTGAAGGTCAAGTTTGTCCCGGGGAAAGTTAAACTGTCATTGGACCCAAAAGTAAATTAATCAGAAGAACATAGGAGGAGTTTGAAGTAAAGGTTCGACCTCCCTCCATTTAAGAGCACTTATTGAATTACCTATCTTAGACATTGAAAGAAAGAAAAGATAACTAAACTGTCGCCATAACAACAATGTTAACAGCATTGTTGTGTTCCGGCAGTTACAGGTAAGATAGCCAGTTCCTCCGTGGTTGAGGATTCCGGGTGAAGCTCGCTTTCACCTTCGGCCTGATCATCACTTACCATCCGGTGAGATACAGGCCAAGAGCTTCCTCGTTGTGGATAAAAAATACTGCGTTTATAGTCATCAACAGCCCTTTACAGTCCACTGCTGGACTATGAGCCTCCTCCACTATAGTGGAGGGTTTTGCCATAATCTCCAGTATCTCCACGCTTGGCAGGCGGGTTGGAGATCGCAGTTTAAAAGATTGATGTTTTTCAGAGAGCGCTGCTGCCCATTCTCTGTTTGATGTGTAGTCCCTAAGTCGCCTCTTACGACACCCGCGGGAAGAGTAGGGGTTGGTGACAAATGTATTCTACTCTGCCGTCACCACACGGCTCACGTTTATAGTAAACACATTATTATAGTTGTTGCAATTCACGAAGGCGAGTGAGTTTTACAAGTGTGGTGGCTCGTTACTGTTCGTTTTTCAAAAGTTTTGATAGACATTACACTATCGTTATGTGCATGTACACGTACACACACAAGTACAGCTCACTCGCCTTCGTGAGTTGCAATAACTTACTCATATTTAGATATAATTTGACCCATTTTCCTCACCCTTCGATGCGCTAAACCGCAATACTCTCGTTCCGGTTTCCCAACGATTGGATTTAGAATGAGTCTGCGTTTGTCGTCGCCTGCGCACGATCAGTCTTTGAAGTGCGCCGCCAACGTAAACAACGCGCTGGTCCCGACGTCACACGAAGGTGAGTCTGTCGTTTTTGTCACGATTACTTTTTCTCTGAAGGAGATGCCACACGGTGCGGTGCGGCGCCGCACCGCAAACATCAGAGTAAATACAAATGAGTAGGTTATCTTCATAGAAACGCACCGGGCGCAGTTTGTATGTGAGCGCGCTAATACGTATGCGGCGCGCACGCACACACTGACAAAGTTTAGCGTGGATTATCGGGGAGCCAGTCGTGGTTGCGCCGAATTTTGTCAGTGTGTGCGTACGCGCCGCATATGTATTGGCGCGCTCACATACAAACCGCGCTCGGTGCGTTTCTATAAAGATAACCTACTCATTTGTATTTGCTCTGCAGACATTTTGCCGCATCACTGTACACATGGTGGTATGCGGCGCCGCAACGGCACCGTCTCGCTCTCAGTACCTGCGGTGCGGCGCCGGAACGCACCGTCTGGCATATCATTGATTTTTATATGACGCCGCAGCGGCACCGCTCCGCCGCCGCGCCGCGACCGCACCGCACCGTGTGGCTTCTCCCTGAGTGTAGAGTTGGAGTGTGATTTCGGTGGAGTAAAACATGATTATGCCCACTCAGGAATGGAGAGTTTTAAAAATAAAGGTAGAGATATTATGCGAGCATCAAGCCTCGCCAATCCATCTGAACAGTGTGGGGATTGGGGAGTCTAAGTCAAATCTTCCATTTGCCTCTGGTAAACAAGAAAGTCGCAGTCTGCAACAGCAGTGGAGACTAAAATTTACATTGTTGACCAGAGGGCGTAGTGTGAGTTGAGATCAAACGCATTAGATGTCGACTCTGTAAAAAGTGATATGAAGGATTTTTCAATTTCCAGAATTAAAATCTTCATATCAAATTAATGCGCTCTGATAATGTATTAGACATTTCTCTGCCATTGAGG